AGGAAAAACGGAACTAAGCGGTCTTGCAGTTCTTTTCGCGATTCTTTTGGAGACATTTATGAAAAATCACGGTTTGCTTTTAAATTTTTATTTGATGGCCAACCTTTTCGTCCTAGAATTGGGCATGCAGTTATTGTGCATAACATTTGATTCCTTGCACAATTTCAGAGGTGTGAAGATCGCTGAATTTTTAGGGTGTGGCACATTGTTTCGGTGGTTGCGGATCCGCAGTCAAAAACTGCTTGGCGGAAGCACTGATCCGGTTGTGGAACATTGCTAGCTGCTCGCAGCTATTCGACACCAAGCGTTGCAGAAGTGTGTGTTGAAACAACGCACGGTGCTTGTCAGAGAAGTATGCTGTGGCTTGTGCGAGCAAACAGATTTTTGCACTGTGATCTAGGATGCTTCCGGAATGAGGATTAAAATGACAACGCCCCACCAACATGCTGGCATTTTTAATAGAACAAGTACACTGTCATTCCCGTTGCCCAATTCCCCCAGGAATTAACCAAGTTCAACATGTCTCTAAAAACAATCAGTTAATATGACGATTTTATTACAACACTTCGGCAAATACTTGTCTTTTAATGGTGATATCTTTTTGAAGCCGAGAATCCCGAGCTCGGAGCTTTATCTTTGGCAGTTGCTCCTGCTCATCGAGAGTTCGCAGAGCCGAAATGCATCCTTCAGCATATGGCTTGCGCTTGCAGCCTAGTAGCATAATTGTTGCTCATTACAAAAAGCTGGGAAGCAAAATATAAAGTGAAACAAAGTGCAAATGAACACAGATAGTGTAAACTATCTGTCTTCATTTGCAGGGCTACTTTTTGAGCGAAAAGTAATCGACGAGATGAGATCACGATGGTGCGTGCCATCTTTAGCGCTGAAGACACGGTAACTGGGACTCGTAGCCGGTTGCCTCCGGGACGCATACCAGCGAGTTACGGGCCGCATGTTTGAGACCCCTGGTGTAGGCAAACGGGTCTTTCATGTTGTGGGAGACTTAAGTGTCGTGAGCGTATCGTCGAGCCACCCCGCAAGCATTTTGATTGGGTAAGCCGTGTACCATAGTTACGACGGCGATTGCAGTTGCAACGACGGATTCGCTCAATCAGATTGGCATCTCGCAACGCCTGTACTGTTGTGAAGCATCATCACAGGTATAAAACTTCATAACACGCACCTCTCGGATCTGTATTTGACACCCTCACATGCGACTGTAAATAAATCCCCTTGCGTGCAAGTACAAAATATGTTGCTTTCCTCCTTAATCGTGGCAAAGGTCGTGGGAAGAATGTATTCTGCGTTGCTTCGCGCTGTTGTTGCGAAAAGGAACTTTGCATGCATTTCCTGTCTCGGCGGTATAAAGCCTCCAAGAGAAAGCCCTGTTAAAGCTAGCACCCCAGCAAGAGTGGAATGCAAAGTTTGAATTTCTTGCAGTCATACACTCAGGCTTTGACGCTGCTATTTGGTTTCTCACTGTGTCCTCAAGGCGTGGGCTTGTTGTCTTCTCCCTCGTCTCCTGCATAGTTGCACCAGATGCGCCGGCCTGCTCACCAGTACGTACAGTCTGTCCCAAACAAAAATTTTACAAAGTTCCTTTTTTTACTACAAAAATCAACGACGCATTGCCGAAGGCTCATTCTCCGCCCAAAATATAGCACTAGCAATCCGAATCGGATGTTAGTTTCGGAACTAACCGTTATATTGTTAAAAAGTTGTAAGCGATTTTCTGAAGTTTTCAATGGGAAAATGGCGGTCGATGGAGACCTCGAATGCACGGAGCCAAACTGCCAGGAACTGGCCACATCTTCCCATTGAAATTTTCAGAAACTATCTTACCTTTTGGCTAAGATTACGTATGAAACTTTGGCATCTGGTTTGAACTGCTGGCGCCATTATTTGGGCAAAAAATGAGCGTTCGGTGATGCATAGTTCATTTTTGTGGTGGAAAAAACCCGGTAAATATCTTTTTTGTGGGACGCGCTGTAGATAAGGCCACGGGAGGTCGGTGCCAAGCACGGATTGTGCGCGAGTGCTGCACCAACATTCTTCGCTCGTATTTAATCGGCGACGACACGAGGTTCAGTTAAATGCCGACACAGCACTCGCATTAGATCTGCGCCCTTTGCAACTCTCTTCTGTCGCAGGAAGTGGCTTGGAGTCGGCCATGTAATGGGGAATTCTCAGGTGGATTTGGGGCAATCCAAAAGCGCGAGCTCATTTATTTATGTTGGAATCTTGATCTACAGGCTGTAAGCAACCTAAAGAAACTTTGAAATTACTTGTGGGTGCCAATTTCCCAATTAAAACGAAGATTGCGACATGCATCTCTTTCTGTGCCCCGGAGCAGACACCAGGGGGCGTCGTCAGACAGTTTTCTAGCAGTAATCGCTGTATTGCATCTCCTACACCGAAAGATTTGAAGTTTTTGTCGAAGTGCAATACACAAAACGCACCTAAAGAGAGTAATAATAGTAAGGTTCGGAATCTCCACGCAACTAACTATTTTTGTCGGCCAAACTTTATGGAGTTGGGGGAGACCTAATGAGCACCTCCCCCCCCCCTCAAGAGAAAATATCTAGTGCCCGTGTATTTCTACTGCTGCAAGTTTGTTTACAAGGATGTCCTGCCATCTAGAACCGGTCATTTTTATTGACTAAGATCCAAGGAACAACGCGTCGTCAAAAAATTACAGGAGGACACTAGAGACTGCTTACATGTAGGAAGGCGAAAGCATTATAGTCCCGCGGGTGAAATGTTTTCGACTTATGTTTCTACACATATTGAAGTTTAGGACGACGTCCTAGAGATTTTGACGCCACATACGGCGTCTACGGTGACGTCAAGGGCGGCGTTGAGAACAACGCTTAGAGTAAGGACACTTAGGGAAGCTGTGGCGTACTTGCGTGGGCGGCCAAGTTTGCCTGCAGAAGCCGCCGTAGTTGTAGACGCGGTCCCCTCACAGTCCATCGCATGAAGCACACAACGAGCACAGATGAAGTCTGGAGCGCACCTTTTGCACACGGCGCTCCGGCGGTGACATCATGCTTACGCACTTGAGCGCGAGCAGTGCGCATACCTTGGCAAACCTCACTCATGATAGCCCTCATTCACCCTCACTCACCCTCATTTTCACAGGTGAGGTGAGGGTGAGTGATGTTCATGAGGGGTGTGAGGGTGCAAAGGCTGTAAGGACTGAGTGTGCAAGGGGTGGTGAGGGCTATAAGGCAAGTGAGAACCGTGAAGGGTTCGAGGCTAGTGAGGGCGGGCGGGTGTTGGAAAGACCATAAGTGTGTGAGGGGTGTAAAGGCCGTGAGGGGAGTAGGGGCATCAGTTTGTGAGGGATCTGAGCTCAATTGAAGCGTTTGCGTGTGGGGCTTGTGCGAGACTGAGTTCTCAGTGAGGCCTGATTTCGCTTGAAGGCGTAGAAAATTTGTGAGGAGATGCGCGGGTATTGTAAAGCCCCTCTATCTTGGGAAAAGTGGCCCCATTCATTGTTGTGGAAATGCTCGAGACATGTGCCGTGTGCCATTTCTGGGAAGAACATGGCGTCTGAAATCTACCTCAATGCTGCGCTGTGCCGCCATGATCGTCCCAAGGCTGCACTGCACGTTGCATCTGCCTCTTGCACAGATGCACCTTCTGCTACTTTTAAAACGTGAAGGGGCTTTAGGGTATTGTGACCTCTCGTGGCATCTCCCGGGAAATTGGGCCGATGCTCGCTTCGCAACAAGTTTGCCGTGCAGATGCTTGGTGGGATTTGATTATTGGGTGTGGGCATACCTGGGCAAACCTCTCATAAGGGCCCTCATTACCCTCACTTACCCTCAGCTTCACAGGTGAGGTGAGGGTGAGAGGTTCTGAACCCTGAACATTCATGACTGCGAGCACTGTGAGGACCATGAGAGCAGCGAGTGTGCAAGTGGTGTGAGGTTGAGCGAGCGAGGATGAATGAGGAACTGCGGTGAGGGTGGCTGTGAGGGTGAAGGAGGGCAACCTAAAATGTCATCAAGCACGTGCTTGATGACATATTTTGATGGCCATCTTTCGGACACGACACCACTTTTTCGCATAATCAGGGAAGTAAGGTCATCCTAGAGGTCCAGGGCAACGCCAAGGACAGCGTCGTCCTTGAGCATACGATTGAGCGGCGCAGGCCGCTCAATCCTTTTCATGGCCGTATATGCCGCTTTTTCGCTCAATGGGACAAGTAAAGGCTCGTTCACACTCTTGCAACCGAGTACGACCGAGAGAGACCAGACCGGTTTTTAATCCCCTTGCGACTTCTTAGGACCAGCTCCGCAGCAGCGCGCCCGGTCCTAGGATGTCTCAAGAGGATTAAAAACCGGTCTGGTCTCTCTCAGTCGTACTCGGTTGCAAGAGTGTGAACGAGCCTTAAGGCTTTCGCCTTCAAAGCAAGCTTCTACGAAAAGCACTTGAGTGCCACTTTAAAACGTTGGAATGCATGGTGTCCGGGACAGGTTCCCAGCTGGAGTGCTTAGTGCCCCATGCCACTGATGAACTGGACTATGCAAAATGCCAACAAACTGTCCGAGGAGCCAGCAAATAACGCTACACACCGCGATTCCGGTCGTGGAAGTGACTGCATACAGAGCAGGCAAATGGCCGTTGGCATCTCTGCAGCCAAATTCATGGCTAGCAAAGTTTGTCGACCGACCTGCTACAGAGCGGGCAACAAAGGAACAGGCATCGATAATAATGGTACTTTGCATCGTCAATACATTCGCGTAGCTGTACTGCAAGACCATATTTTCAAAGAAGGAACAGTCTTTATTTGGCTTACTTTGGGGAGCTGAGGGGGGGGAATCCAGTAACTTTCGTAAAATAATCTTGCGCTGGACACGCAATGGGAGTATTGAGGTCTGAAGAAAAAAATAAAAAGTCCCAAAGAGAATAGTACGAGTCAATCTTTGGTTGTTTGGTTAAAGTCCTTTCGGCTAAATCTGCTTTTCGTTGTTTCTGTTATTTTTTTTTTCCGTGCCGTTTCTTGTTTTTGTCGTTTTCTTTCTAGAAGAGTCCCACTTTCTTCTTGAGGTCCAGCTTCTTCCACTTGGGGAGTCCCTCAAACTCCTCGTATGCCATGGAAAAGATCCGCAGGAATTCTTCGTCGTTGAGGTACAGCTGCAATTTTTCAAACAAACATGTTTCTGTCACAATAAGTCCTACAGTCGGTGACGGGTTCAGAATTCGGTAGATGCTCCTCGCCTCTGTAGCGACATTTGTGCCTTTGATAACGCTCTGCGTGCTCGGCTAAAGTTAGTGAGAACGTTTTGTTTTACAATTGGCGACGAGAATTTGAAGTGCTGCGAGAATGATTAACTGGACCAATGATATTAAAGACTAAAAAAGTGGTTACCTTTACAATAAAGGAATGAGCTATATGTTGTTGGGGTTAGCCTCACAGGCAAATTCTTTGTGTAGGTTTGGTGTTGCTGACTTGCCCAATGAAAAGTGCCCCCCCCCCCCCCCCCCTTCTACATTCTTCATTGTTTGTTAATAGGGCATTAAAGGGAAGGTGAAGAGGTTCTTCAGATTTGTAACCTATGAATCTTAATATCACGTTCGTTTTCCCCAAAAGCGTACCTAAACACGTAAACCTCTGACCAGTCGTTACGTCATACCTCGATCTTTCGGCAGCCAAGCGAGTGTCACTCGTGTGGGCGGCATGTGCAATTGAAAGCTTGTCAGGTATATCCCCTTGCACTGACACCATCCGTGACGTCTTTTTTTTTTTTTTTTTTACCTTCTTGAAAAAAGCAAAAGCGTACGTGCATAGCTTTGATGGACACCGAAGAAGTGCGAGCGGAGATTCCGAAAACTCTAGATACGACGTCACGCTTGAGGAAGGAGGGGCTTCGGCGGTACTTTGAAAATGATTTTCCGCAGCCTCTGTGCACCAAATTGAAAAAAATAATCCTGATATTCGTGATCCTAGAGACCTAATGAAGACGATTTATGTGTTTTTCCTCAAATACAGAACCGCTTCAGCTTCTTCTTAAACAATTCCTTTACAATAACTATCCGGGGATTGCAATAAACTCACAACGTTCGTAGCGACTTAAAGTTACGCTAAGTGTGTTAACACACCGCGGTTCGGAGCACGTGGAAAAACCCTCATTGCAGAACCCATTGATCCTGGGTTAAAGGAGCTGTGCAACAATTTCAGGGCTTTGCTTAAGTATTGTGGAAGTTGATGCCTGGCACTTCTGAAGTGAACTACAGAAAACGGATTTTGCCTAGATACCCTAGTTTTTATTTAAAAAAATGAAAAAAATCCAAGTTTTTGCCGCCTCTCAACTCGTCCGTCGTCTTCCGGGTCACGTGCGCAGTGACGTTGATGGGGTAGGCGCGGGGTTTCGGAAAATTTATCTTTTTAGAGCCATCAGTGAGCAGCGAGAACTCATCCGCTCGCAACCGCGTGACCATGTGCTGGCGGGCGCCGCGCGAACAATATGGTGAAAGGAGGAAAGTCTCATCCGGGTCCGGCCCTGTCCCCCTACCCCTTTGGCTCCTGGTGGCTGTTCGCGGTAGCAGAGAGAGCTGACGGTTTTATGGACCTAGGATAGATGGCGCCACTAAAACTCCGTATAATGAAAGTTTTGTCGATGATACCAGGTTTTTGTCGCATTTATATATATGTTGGAACGACAAGATTTACAGAAAAGTTACCTTTTATCGAGCAGGTATTCGCACAACTTGCTATCTTTCTCGAAGATTCCCCATTGACGTCACACCGCGTGTTTCTCATGGCCGCCGCTCGCGACTGCAGGTCGGAGAATATTCTAAGTTTTGCCTCGCTATTGCACGGCGGAATCGCAACATTTCGATGAAAGGAGGTGTTTTCTGTCATTTGTGACAAGGTGAAGAATATCAAAAGCAGAAGATGCCAATTCCTTCAACGTTAAAATCATTGCACAGCTCCTTTAAATCCCCCTCCTTGCCTGTTTCAATATGGACGAGCGTCGTGTCGATGGGCAGTTGTGCATTGCTACTGCGAGATGCACGTTAAAGGCCTGGGCCGGCGGTGGTATTGCACCGGCTAAATCTCTCGTCTACAGCAGAGGCCAGACACACATTGGGGCCGACCTCTGTATAGTGCCAGCTGAACATAAAGCAAGGATTAGAGGAAGAGAGAGATAGAAAAGGCATACACACCACTGGTGTGTATGCCTTTTCTCTCTATAATCCTTCATTTATGTTCAGCTGGCACTGTATACAGCAATGAACCAACTAGCTCAGCTTCAAGCCGTCAAACGCTTACTCACCTCTTTGTTCGCAGGATCGACGCAGGTTGGGAGCTGGTCCGGGTTCTTGACGTTGAGCGCGTCGAATGTAAACTTCTCGACCTCGGACCTCGAGTTCCGGTACAGCGCCGCTTGTTGCTGCGGAGGTAGAGGGCAATGTCGTTAGGGCGGAAGTTCTAGAATTGCAAGATCCCATGGCACGACGCTCTGGTTTTTGTGCCGTCATTGGCTGCTGCTTTGGGGCGGCCACTTTCGACGCGTTGAAGGGAACGGGATGCTAAGCGCAACAATCGGAGGCGCACCCCACGCACCATACGGGGTGGAACTACGGTGCGAGATGGCGAAACGCAGCTTTCCTTTATACCTGCATCCCGACAGTGGCCATGAGATTACGGCGCCGAATTCGACTTCCCCTCGTCGAACGAAAAAAATGCGGCCCAGTGCATGAATCTAGAACTGACGGTCCTTTCCTCCACAGCATTCTGAGAGCCCGTCGTTGTTAAGTGCTCGGCTCTGCAAAAGATGTTCCCACCCAAAAAATGTGAAAGTCTGCCATCTGAAGAAATGCAACGTTATATGTGCTCGCACCGTGCCCATTTTCATGTTGCAGACTTTGTTTTTGGGTCGAGAGCGTTTTTCAACCTTGTTGTTTTCCAAACTTGCACTGCAGATTGCCCTGCAGCAAACTAGATGCATCGGAATTTCTTTTTACAACGTATGGGCGCTACCTTATTTACTAAAAAAACAGATCGACTTCCTCACAAAAGACCTTGCAAAAACTCTCGCAATCCCCAACAGAATTGTGAATCGTTGCGATTTACAGAATAATAAAGCACTGATGACACCCGGGCTCAGAAATGACATCTCCACTGATAATCTAAGCACGTGAATGTAATACGACCTGCACTGGGACACCGACCGTGTCCCAGTGCAGACCATGTTTCTGAACCCGAACATTACCTCTGCTTCTGCACTCTTAAACGCCCCTCTACGCACTTGCGACTTTTTAGAACCGAGTGTTTTGAAACCTCTTAAAATCTCTTTTGACGATGGGACACACTGGTACCGCCTACCGGGGGTAGCAGTCGAAAGAACACTTGGCAGTCCCGTATATTTCCTTTTTCTTTCGCGCATAATTCATTCTTTCTTGCCTTGAAAAACTTCTGTCAACGTTACAAACAAACGTTTTTCAGTAGTACATACATTTGACCTCGCAAATAGCGCCAAACCTTTGCTCTTGTGAAATGCAGTTCCAGGGTCACCACATAGATGGCGCCAGTGTGTTCTCTCGTCGTAAGAGATTTAAAGAGCTTTTAAGGCACTCAGTTCTAAGGAACCTCACAAATGTGAACGGACCTGCTCAAGTCACGTAAGTTTTGATGGATGGCTCTGCAGGAGTGTAGACACTTCACAAAAACTTTGACTTACTTTCAAGCGAATATGGTAGCACCTTCGAAAATCCGACATCTACGATAAAGTGGTTCTTACTATAGGGTATTTGCTATGCGAAAAAGGCTCGAATTGGCAGTTTTTCCGGGGGTTAATATGTCTTTATACCCAGAAAATTAAAAAGGGATGAGTTAAAAGTAGACTGGCATTGTTTGTTTCCCCAGAAAAAAGATAAGACATGTTTTTAGCCCCTACTCCTGATTTGAAAAAAATGTTGAATTCTTAATACAGTTGAACCTCGATGTAACGAAGTCGGTAAAATTCGCAATTTACTTCGTTACATTGAAATTTCGCTAAATCAAAATTTGGCTTTAGCATGCGAAAAAAAAAAAAAATTCCGAAACATTTTACGGGTATGAAAACTCACCGAAAATGACATTTATTTAGGGGCAAAGTAGTCCGCGAGTTTTGCTTGCGCCTTGTCCGACAGTAGCAGCGGCGTCGGCGGCGTCATACGGCGTTCGAGCGCCCAGAGCGCTTGCACGGCATCTTGCTACCCATGCGACGCCGTGTACCTCCTCAGTACGTCCATTGCGTCGACCACTTCCCGAGTGCTCGTGATCTCGGCAGTTTCTTCAAGATGGCATCCAAAACGTTTGCTTTCTCATCCAAAGAAAGAACTTTACGTTTCCCTATGGCAGCAAGCACGTAAGTGAACCGCCCGGTTAAAAAATAAAGCTGTTTAGTTTAGGCGGTGCCAATGTTTCCAACCTACACAGCACTCTTGACCGCACAGTTTACTTGCCCCCTTGCGCCCACAGTGTGCTTGCCAGTGCTTGCGCCTTTGCTTTACATCACGCTCGCAAGACGATAATCGGTCTTTTCGGTCTTCTCCTAGATGGCACTGCCCGTGCGGTCGCGCGGTCGCGCCATCACGTCGCTCCCCCGCTGAAGTTGGCTCCCGCGCTACCCGCGGTACAGTGGACTATGATGATCAGTGAATGTCAGTGGTGATGCTGTTATGCCGTGTTAACTTTTTGCTCGGCATTTGCTGGCCAGCCTCGCGGAATCCGCTTTGCCGCACGCCTCGCCGGCGCTACCAGCGCCGCATCCTCGGGCAGCCTAGGAACGTTGGAAGGCCTGTCCCCGTGAAGTAACCTATCAAGCGCTCGCGTTTGCGCATAATTTTTTTTTTTTTTAACCACAATTTTTTTGCGAAGTTGTTTTTTAGAGTTGATTTATTTATTGCCTTCTATGGCAATGGCGCTTCGTTATATTGAAATAGCAGCAAAATAGACTTCGTTCTATAGGGACTAAAAATACATGGGGTCTATGGGCAAGAAATTATGAAAAATTAAATACTTCGTTAAATCGAGGATTTCGTTACATTGAAGTTCGTTATATCGAGGTTCGACTGTACTATGTAATCGTTAGGGAGTTTTTACCAAAAAGGAAACGTTGGAGGAAAACGAGCGTGGTTCACCTGCATTGCAAGCAGAGTTTGGTTGCTGTCCTCGATCTCATTCTTGATGCTTTCATAGGTCGGCAGAGTCTGCAAAAGGTGTCGGTTGCAGGGGTCAACAGTTAGACCTTGGAGAATCACACTAATCACCCACACGATGCAGCTAAACCAGTGCAGTCTTGTTTGACGCAAGGTCAACAAATGGAAATTCGGTTCATTTAGTTTTTAGTAATAGATGAACAAAGCTGGAAAAATTTTTAAAAAGCTGCAGCGGGATTGTTCAAAGGATACTAACATAGCAGCCAACTACTTACTAAACTAAAAAACATTTTTGCTGAGAGGAACTCCACAATAACGTAGAACACATAAGCCTTACAACCGAGAGAAAGATACTACATGTGCCGCTATCGCAGCAGGGTTCCGCTGCGGGTGGCACCTCGCTCCCATTGGCCGGCGTAACTGATCATGTGCCATAGCAACAACCAATAGCATTCATGTCGGAAGTCACGGTACGACTCTTGGTACATCGACGACTGCAGGGAGATTCACTAACCTACAGGGTGATCAAGGAGAGGCCAGGCTCTTTAAATTGACCGCAAAATTCGGTTTCTTAACCTATCGCGCTACAGTTTTGTGCAGCGTTGCCCACAGATGGTGCTTTTTTTTTTAAAATTTGCAAAGAGCGAACTTACCTGAGGAAAAAGTAAAGAAAAAAGAAAAGGCTTAGCTCCTATGGAAATGCAGCGAAGCCACCGGTCTTCAAACAACACGGCGCCGTTTTGCACGGGAGACAAAAGATGGTGCTAGCGGTCACGATGCCAACTGCCGCCAACGAACGAGCATACGACGCCGAGACCCAGCATCTTTAGCAGACAAGGAACTGCAGTCCCTTGTTGTTTCGCCGCCTGCGGAACGCGTGCCGCTTTTGAGTCGAAAAGATTGTCTGCTAAAGACGCCGGCTCTCAGTTCCGTATGCTCGTTCGTTGGCGGCGTTCGTTGCGCCATCTCTTGTCTCCCGTGCGAAACGGCGCCGTGTTGTTTGAAGACCGGTGGCGTCGCTGCGTTTCCATAGGAGCTAAGCCTTTTCCTTTCTTTACTTTTTCCTCAGGTAAGTTCGCTCCTTGCAAATTTTACCAAAATAAATGCACCATCTGTGGGCAACGCTGCACTAAGTTGTAGCGCGATAGATTAAGAAACCGAATTTTGCAGTCGATTTAAAGATCCTGGCCTCTCCTTGAATCACCCTGTAGAAACATATTTTACGTATGACAATCTTGTCAGACGTGACCAAAGTACTCTTTCACAAATTTTTACACTAACATCAAAATACAGGCAAATATTATAAATAAGTGCTGAAGCCAAACACATACGCCACAACAACAAAAAAAAGAAGCTTTTACTAAAAATGAAGTTGTTTTTGTACAGTTTCTACAATTTGATAACCTTGGGGGTGCACTGAACTTGTTGCAAATGAGCTGGGCACATGCCGGGTGCGCGAAGTTGCAACACGTTCGGATGTTGCGATGACACGTCATATTGCGATGTGATGCAGTCGCGTCTCATTAATATGAACGCCGTTAATATGGATATAGACCTTTTAAGGTGCTGACTGGGCAAACTCGTGCATTTTTGTCTCATTACTAAAGGGGCACTCAAATGGATTCTGAGATTGTCTATTTATGGTGATAACTCAATTTACGGGCTCTAAGCATCCTAAGACAAAGGAAATTACACCTGTGGCTGGCCGATTTCCTCATTAGAAATCTAATCAAAGATCGTAACAAGCCCCTCTTTCTGCGGCTTGGAGCAGACACCAGAAGACCGCCGTCGGACGACGTTTTCAAACAATAATTGCTGTAATACGTCTCCTATACCCAAAGATTTGATGTTTTTGTCAAAATATAACGTGCAGTGCGCCTAAAAAGAGCAATAATAGTGACGTTGGGAATATCCACGCAATCAACAATTTTCGCTACTCAAATTTTACCGAGGTGGGGGGACCCAAGAGAAAATAGTGTCCGTGCATTTCTACTGTCGCAAGTTTACTGGACGTCTTGCAGTTTAGAAATGGTTATTTTTATTGACCAAAGCCCAACAAACAATATGTATTCAAACACAAGCTTCTACAAAAAGCACTCGAGCGCCCCTTTTCAGGACGACTCGCATTGTGGGTGCGTTTCGGAGGAAACGGAGCTGTCCGTATTAGAGAGACATCACCACTTGACACCTTGACCCGTGTGTGGGTTTAGCGCAACATGTCGCTTTTTTCTTGAAACCCGGCCTTGCGACGCATTTCGTGTTAAAACTTGTATCTTTCTAACGTTTTTTTTCTTTTTTCTTTTTTAGCAGTCTTTTTGCAAAAATGTCGAAGGGGGTGGCAGGGGGACTTCACCTTCCAAAATTCGTTGTCCCAGGAGGTGAAGAAGCCCGTAAAGTTTGGCGGCTCGAGTCCCTGCTTGACCCAGATCACCGGCGTCCCCAAGTCCCTGCAACTGGGGTCGTCCTGAAGGTAATCCTGAAGGGACGTGCAAGCAAGCCTGAGCAGTCGTTGAAATTTCTGACACGTGATTTAGACTGGTATGTAGTAAGGCTGCGAGTTTCGTGATCTCATAGTAGACCAATTTGACTCGTACAGAGCATTTCCAGTAACTGTATCACTCAAAAGCCTAGGGAGGCACAATTTACCTCTACAAGATAGAAGACAAAAAGACATTGACAAAGTGTTTGCGTGCCCTTCACCTACGCGGAGTTTGTCGAACCCTGCATAGTTGCGAGTAAACGCGACCGGTAAACTCTGCCAGTTTCAAGCGAGCTCGCGTTTGTCTCGTACAATTCTGCGCTTCAGCTCGCTTTTTGCGTGTTTTTTTATCAAATATTTTTGATGCTGCGCCAACTGCCCCAACTTTCCGCCCCCATCCCGAGCTATCGACGGGAAAGCTTGGCCACGGCGATGCTGTCGGTCGTGCACATTGGCAATAGCAGTGATACAGCGCCGAATCTGTGCTACACCGGTGCCAGCTCAGCACCAAGCTGCACTGAGAACCGGCCTGGCCCCTTCGCACATGCAGCAGAGCACTGTGCCTCAGCTTCTAGTGCTGAAGAGAATGATAACTTTATGCCGATGCAGCACCGACTTTGTGCTGTACTATATCGGTGCAAGAACTACTCAGCAATCGTACATCGGAGTGAGGTAGTGTCCGGTGTGTGTTGGTATTCTGTGCACCATAAACTTCTGATCTTAATCTTGTCGGTTCACCAGCACATCGAGGAACGGCAAGGTGTCATCCATCTCACATTCCACAGTCAACTGTTTAGGGGTTAAAAGAGCTAAAAACGACGGACGAGTAGGAGAGACACACACCACAGAGAGCTTTTAACCCCTAAACATGTTCAACCAACTAGCCCAAATCCAAACCCTTACTTACACAGTCAACTGAACTGCCAAATCAATAAAATTAAAATGTACAAAAAAAAAAAAAAGCGAGATGGATGGCGTTTTGCATTTTCTCGATGGGTGAACCAGCGAAGGCAAGATAGGAAGTTTATCGTGTACAGAAAACAAACACACACCAGATGCTACCTCGATTTTGACTCCAACGACCCAACAAGTCGTAAGGCGTCAGTGGTTTTGACACTCCTGCGTAGGGCAACAACCATCTGCTCGTTGGAAACCATTAAAAGGAAGGAGAAAGAGACCATAATTGTAGACCTTGAGAAAAATGGCAACTCTAGTAGCTTCATCGAACGCATCGCCAGATGCCAAGGTCTCGCCAGACAAAAGCAGAAGCCACTAGAAGGAAGGCAGCCCTATCAAGTCGTGCACATCAGCGTCCCCTACGTAAAGGGGACCGGCGAAGCGCTGGCACGAATACTGGGAAAAGGAGGAATTCTGGTGGCCCACAAGCCTGCGATTACACTGAAAAGGTTCGGGCCAAGACCCAAAGATTGTCTACCAAAGGAAAGAGCACAGGGTGCGGTTCACACCATTCCGCGTGAAGAGTGCCCCGCAACCTACATCGGCGAGACAAAGAACTTTCCGGAGTGACTCCGCCAACACAAGAACGACGCGCAGAAGTTCGACAGTGAGCATAGCACCACTGTCGAACGTTGCGATACCTTAGGCCATCGCACTGAATTTGCGAACGCGCACGTGATTGATGCCAAGCCAAATATCCGAAGAAGACTTATCTTGGAGTCATGGCAAATCCAGCATACACCAGGAAACCTAAACAGGTCTCTGGGCGCCTTGCCCTCTTTGCACACGCATGACCTCCGTGACCTGATAAGGAATCTATAGAGATGATTGTCTCCATAACCAAAAAGCTGATTTTTAAATTTTTTGCAATTTTTAGTTTTTGTTTTGAAGACGAAGAGGTTAGGAGCTGCTGCTGCTCCACGTGCTTTCAGTCACCGTTGAAGAAGGAACTAACCTGGTTTCGAAACATCGGGTTTCCTTTCGAGATTTGGTTAGAGCTACTTTTTTTGGACTTTAGGTAATTCTCACTGAACCAGGCAGATTTTTGCCGCATGTGTTTACCTTCAAATCCAAAGTAGGAAGCCCGCACTGGAGGCTTGACAGCAGAAACTTCCGTTCTCATCTTGTCAGTGCCTATAGTGTTGAGTCAGTGCCTCGCTTCACGCGAGGAGTGGCCGTTAGCCCTTTGACAGTCCCTGCCGTACGTGTACGGCTGCGTTTACGTATTTGGAAGTGCCAGCCTGAATGCGAAAACCGTGTGCACTGCGGGAGGTATTGCTATTTGTTACATGTCTCTGGCAAACTATAGACGTCGTATCTGCACGTTTCACTTTGCTGGGGCCACTTAGGTAATAGTTTTAAAGTTGGACGGGGCAATCTATAGTTTCGAAATTAGATGCTCCGCGCAAGTCACACACTCGAGATGGTCGCTTCGCGTGTTGGCTGCTCCGGTGGTAGTGGCAATTGGAGCACCTGCTCTTACAATTCAGATTTTAAACATTTTTCGGAAACAAATTTGCAGAGGGCTACTTGCCGAAACGATACCAATTAGAAGAAAAGGGGCAACTTTTCGCCTTCGATATTTCCATATGACGCTTCTAAAGCTGAACGGCTTGCAAAAATTTAGACAACTGAGAAAAGTCCCGTGCATTGACCCTTTCTTTCTACCATTCCCCTAGAAGCGGACCCGACCGCCGTACAACACACTTTTGTAGAAAAAACTTGACCGTCAAGGGCAGGCACGTAGCCAGGATTTTGTTTCGGGGAGGCGCGGGGGGGGGGGGGGGGGGGGGGGGGGGGGGGGGGGGGGGGGGGCACCCATGACAAAATGCTGTATGAGGGGGAGGGGGGAGAGGAGGTCCCATGGGCCACCCCCCCTGGCTACGTGCCTGGTCAAGGGGGTCACTGAAACATGCCCTACCTCTGCGGCGTGGTTGGCAAGCTTGGCGAGCTCCTTGCCGGCATCCTTTCCGATCCAAAGGAAGATGGAGTGCCAGGCGTCCAGCAGCATCACCTCGTCCTCCACCAGGTCGCACTGGTTAAAGTCCACCACCTCCCGGGGTGCCAGGCGCCCCACGCGGTCGCGCAGGTGGAACAGGCGGGCTGCGCGCGTGCCAGTGTCTTCCTGCAACCAGCGATTGGGAGTGGGGGGTTCTGGTCGGGGTGCTCAAAAACTTAATGACCCTCAAAGAGACACTCAACTCCAAACATACAATTCTTTTTAAGCGCCTGAGTTACAGTAATAATCGTACAGATAGAAGTTGGGGGGAGAGGATTCTGTCCGTATAATTGTAATATTAATTTACAAAGATTTTTCCAAAAGGACATGTATGTCGCAAAGATTGTATGGCAAATTGCTGGGCAATTGTGTTGCATACGTACGTACAATGTTCTAGCATCACAAATGTTTTTATCGTCATTTGGCAGCATGTCTAGTGTGTTCAGCCAGACGCCTACGTTCGCGCCGCTCTTCATCGGATAATTTAAACGGGTCATGAAACGATTTTCCAACTTTTTTCTGTTTAGCTTTCCTCCTCAACTCACCAATCGTGCATTGTACCAAACAGTTCAAGAAAACGGAAAGGAGGTAGTCCCTCTTGCTCGGACCCTCGTTTGTGTACCCGGACACAGCCATTCTCCTCCTAGAAGATTAACCCGTTGCTCAAAACTCAAACAAAAGTTGCTTTCCCCACTATGTTCACCATGAAGCTGACAGTGCTGTGGAAGCTATGCGCTTGTTGGGCCAGCCACACTTTTGCCACGTGATCACGCTCCCTCGCGCGTACAAACGCGCATCGAATGAGGTCAGGTGATGAAAGGGAGGTGGCTGATGCACCCCTAAGCTTCCACCACACTGTCAGCTTAGGGGTGAAGGGAAAAAATGGGGTCGGGTGTCGTGCGACGCGCGTTTGGGCCAGGTGTCGCACTTTGGGTACCGCGGATGTATCAATGTGAAAAGGCAGGGAGGGAGCTTTCGAAGGGAAGGAGGTACGAAATAGTCCGCTGCGTTTTCAAATTTCCCTTTGATGCGTGGTATGTGTACACTTGAAATGATAAACCTGGTGATCTTCCAGAACTTTCTCACCCACTACCCCCCTCCCCACGCGACCCCTGCTCACATGACATCCCCGTTAACCAATCACCATTGAGCACTTCACTCCTCCTCTCCCACCCAACAACCCATCAGTGTCGAGCCTTGCGACCACGCTTTTATCCAGGCTTTACTTTTGGGCCTCACGAAATGCCGAACACCTAGCCAAAAAATGCTTTGCGTTGTTAAATGCACTGCACTATTACAGCAAAGCTGTTAAGGGCTATACTCCGTTTCAAACATAGCGTGCAATGTAGTCAAAGCTAGCGCGCCGGTTCGCACAGCCGACCGCGACTACGTTCGCTCCACAAAATAGTGCGGCCCCTGAAAAAGAAAAAAAAGTCGAAAAGTGTACATCTTTGGAGCTAGTAACTAATAGTGGCGTTATGATTTCGAGGGAACACCAATTCTTTTTCAATAAAAAGGATAATATAATGTAAACTACTCCAAATTATTTTCCGTTTTCGTTCGTGCGGCACTCGCACTCGCTTCGGGTTTTCGGGTTGTGCGGCTGCCCCTGCCTCGCCGGTTTCGTGAAGATGGCGTCTTACGCGGGAAGCTTTCTTTTCCTGCTCGGATATTTTCGAAGATTCGTTGTGTGAAGATCTCGCAAAAGTGCAAGCAGGTGATCGCCAACGTGTACGCGAGTTCAAGAACGTGTTTCCCGGAGACGTCGGTCCGTGAGGTCCTGGAGACGGTCAGTAACGACACCGGAGTGTCTGGCAAGGTGGCGTCCCCGAAGCGAAGACCTCGCAACCTGAAAGTTCCGAGCACGCGGACAGTGTTGTGAACTGCCACCTGTTATTTCTGGTGTTGAAATCGGCCTTATGGCTTCAAAGTGAAACAAGCCTCAAGAAGGAACTGTGTCGGTGATGAATCGTGCCTACGGCTCCGTCTGCTTGCGGTACCTTACAGCAGGCGGTGCCCGTGATTGCATTCCGAAGTGTCTGGGTTCTTCTGCCTGCGGGACCGTAACCATGGTCGGCTCCGTCTGCCTGAGGCACCTTAACCTTGGTCGGCTAAGTAAACGACGCACATGCCCGTGCCTGTATTCCGAGGCCCCTGCTTTCCTCGAAAAGGAAACAACACTCGATCCTGATCTCGAGTGCCGTGTGTTGTGTACGCGTCTATTGTGAATCACTCCCGGTTCATGTGGGCGCCGGCACCAGAGCACCGAGATACTGCCGTCTGGATGACTTCTTTCATACACCGGCGAGTATTCTGACTCTGAAGGAAACTTCCATGAAGTCACATCACGTGAGGGAATGCCAAGCCGTCTGAACAATGGCAGTGCGGTCCCCTAATCACAATATTCGTTATATAAAGGACCGTCCACCACACTCTCAAGGTACTCTCTGATTTTCACGCTACCATGTAAATAAACGGCTTTAAATAGAGACGCCCTGGATCTCGACCGTTCTTCCGTTTTGACGAGGCCGGCGCAAGTTTGAGCGGAACACCAGCCCCTAGTCTACCTTCTTATAAATAAAAATCAACAAGAAAAGAGGAATTGAAATATGCACTTCCGCAATACGCACAATCTTGCACAAAAAATCGGTCGAAAAGAAAAAAAACCTTTGCGCCCTTAGTGGATTCGAACCACCGCCATCGAGATGTCGGCATCGCCGGCATCGCCGGAGCAGCGCCTCGTACCGCTCGTCCACGAAATCTCGCGGAGTAACACAATTTTGTGTGTTTTTTCATGCGCACTACTTCAGTAGCTTTCCCAGCGTTGCACGCGATGTTTGAAACGGAGTATAGGTTCCCCAGGATCGTGTCCGGTATGTCGACACAAACCTACCTAGACAGCCACCGCCATCTCTAAGCGATGGCGGCAAGCACACAACCAGTATGGTTTCCGCCGTCGCTCGTAGATGGCGCCAACCTTTCCAGCTATAATAGAAGAATGGATAGTTGGGCGCGTTGGTGGGAATTCATCGTAGGAAACTGCGCGAAAAACAGACGACGATGAAGAAGAGGCACACAGTGTATCGAGTAGAGCTCCGCTGGTCTTCCTTCTTCACGAGAGTGGAAAGGCCGTTTTTTTAGAAAACGTATGATATAAATCATCACAGTAAAACTAGAGTACTTCGAATCACGATGTAAATTCTGCTTAAAACCACAATTAAAACTATTTACATTGTGAGACACATTTTTAGTTTCAGGCGATTTCAACATCCTTTTACGCAAGCTGTTTTTTTTTTAGGTTTTAATAAATGAGACAAGAGTGATGAAAAATCTTTTAGTAAATATACATAGTACTCCAGCTAATTCTCTTCGTAATCATCACAAAGATTTAGGTAGTAATGTATTTATGGCACAAGCTTTTGAATGCACCTCCCAAAGAAAATTGCCGCTCGGGTTCTCAGTCACTCATCACGCATCGAAAAGACTGTCAGTCACCACAGACATCCTTTCCTGACCCCCATCATCAAGGACATCTCTCCGTCCTTTCATAAGATTCATGCAGTTTCCTTCATACACACTGCACAAACGTGAGGAGCAACGGTCTGACTGATGCACAATGGAATGACTAAGAACCCCGGCAGGAACCCTATTTGGGGAGGGCATGTAAAAGTTTGTGTCACATCACAATAAGTGCCTTTGTAATTGAAAGGTTTTTTAACACTTTCATCAGATTGAAATACAGTCTAAGCTTATTACAACAGACCTCGTTACAACAGACATTTGCATATAACATACCGATTTGTGAAGTTCGGTTAGTTTTCCTCTATGTACCATTGACTCAACTTCATATCTGGATACAACATACTCCTTTTACAACAGACCGAAATCTTGGTCAAAATCAAGGTCTGTTATAACGAGCGTTTTTCATCCCTTTCTTTTTTGTACCTGCAGTTCATCAGAACTTAAAAAAAAAAAAAACTTCTTTCTATACATGCATTCTGAGCTATAGAAGCATATTTTGGAATGGCTCACATGACTCTTGTCAGTGGTTCTAATAATGGCTTTGACAGATGCTATGGAATAACTTTAGACACAAAGAAAAAAAAGCTTAGTAGCACTTCGACTAGGTCTGCCATGTGACTTGTTCTATTACTCCCAAATTACCCTCGGGGGTGTACGCTTAGAGGGACACTGACAGGGTATTTATGCTCGCCGAGGTTTTTAGTTGTACGTGACATATGAGAGCTCAGCTACCCAGAACAGAATTTGCGGCTCGAAATTCGGTTTCTTTCCGCCCGAAAACCACCGATCAAGAACTGGTCGGTTCGAGTCTCGCTCACTCTATTTTTCGCGGTCACGGGCCGTTTTCAAAGGTATCAATGCGACCACCAAATTTAATCAAAGTCGTGGGTCACTGAAGGCACACACTCAATATTAAAAATAGAAAAAAATATGAAACCCATTTTTTGTGGCTTCTAAAAAGCTGTAAATACGTTGATTGAAAAAAAAAGTTCCACAGAGAACCGGAAGCATTCTGTGCGTTCGTCGTTTCGCGTATCGTGGGACTCGCGGGGACGGCGATGGCAGCGGACGGCGGGCGTGGGACCTCTATTTCAGAACTGTCGTTCGCGGTACTGGCGAATTCTGTCTACCGTTAAAAGAGAAATGTGGGACTGATCAAAAGAATTGGTATTCATCCCGTACGACACGCCCGGCCACCAAGCCGATTTGCACGAAGACGTCACCGAGCCGTCGCTCCCTTCTCGTGGCTGAAGACATCGTTCGCGCAAACGTCAAGCACGACGTGTCTACTTCGAGTGGAATATGCACGCGTACGATTTCTTTACTAGGTGCGAATGTCCCCAAAGCGTGGTGCTTCCCGACCTTGACCCGGGAGTGCTTTTGCTAGAGAAAAATCGACAGCAAACTTTCCAACTTACAGTTTGCCGGCTGAATTATTACTAAGGAAAGAGATCCGCCAGACAAGTGATGCCCCAGTAGCTCAGTGGGAAAGACGTCCGGTTCAGACGCGGTAGGACCAGGTTCGATCCCCCGTGAAACTTTATTTTTTTTTTTTAAACATTTTCCGATGTTTACATATCTTTTTCTTTTTTTTTTTACAATCATCACTGAAGAAACAAACAAAAAAATAAGAAACAAATGTTGTGGACGATACTTCGCTGAATTAAATGGTATGGAATTTCCGTTTTGACACCTGCGAACTCAATGTAATCACTTTCCACAAAATGCAAGGAGCATATAAATCAGGCATCGTCCGCTTTCCGAGGTGCCCGTATATGTTCTACAGGAATCGCAGCCAGCCATTGGTCCCGATCCCGTTGATCTTTCGGAAACTCTGTCGCACAATGCCACTTTTTTTCGGATGCAGGAAATGTGAGCCAGCTCTTCACGCAACATCTTGGGTGTATTCTTTTCGGAGCCGATCATGGAAATTCACCACGGGCACTTACTACCCATCTCCAACTCCTCAATGTACAAAACAACTCATCTTGGAGTACAGAACAACGAGCGGAACAAACATAACTGCAAAAGAATCGCGCGGCGGGCAGTTCCCGCACGCCGCATCGCACGCCGCATGTCGTGTTGTCTGCTACAAAAAGGAAAAAAAAAAAAAAAAAAACGCGCGGTCGGGTGTAGCCACGTGACTTCCGCCACTCACTCTCTTCTCTCCACTTCTCCGACCTCCGTCGGGTTTCGGTTTCGAGCAGTTGCGTCTTTTGGCTTTATTAAAAAAATATGCTACTCTGTTGCAAAATATTAATTGGGTAGTCCTCCGATACCATAATGAAGCACCTGGCAAAAAATAAAAAAAATATTTTGGGGGGTGTCAGTGTCCCTTTAAAGGGACACTGACACCCCAAAGGTTGTATTTATTTGTTTTGTTGTCTAAAACGATGCAAGTTACAGTCATGGACACGCAAAAAAATACCCCAATGCCAAAACAATTTCCCAAGCGTGCACGTGCCTTTTTATTTTTGGTGCCCTTCTCTCCCACCCCTCATCTCCTCGCTTCTTTTGATTTGTGGCCTCAAATATTATGAAATTTAGAAGCTTTGTAAGCGACATTTTTATAACATTTATTGACGGCATTCAGAAAACAGTTTCTTAACGCAATTGCGAACGCACTTTGACCCTTCTTTTTAACGTACCGAAAATCGCGAGTCCAATGTGATGTCGCCTCCTGGCTTTTTATCCTCCCTCGGAAAACATGGCGGCGTTTGACGCATGTAGCAGAGGATAATCGGTGAGTCGGGGAATCGGAAGAAGTGGTCATTTTAGGTGCTTGACGACCTCTCAGACTTTGAAAAGAAAATCATACTAAACGGTCAAAACAACTGGGTGTGTGGTGTCTGTGCGTCGTAGTTTCAACTGGGACTCTGCCGAGGCAGCCATTCACGCAGAACCGGCGCGACCTCACACCGTTTCAAAGAATTTGAGATCGCTGAGAGGGCCCTAAAAGAACTTCCAACTTGAAAGGCAAGCATCGTCTGCTTGCAGCTATAGGCGGGACGCACGGAGAAAGCCGGTTGTTCGCGGAACGCCGGCAAACGCGACACTTCGGCTTGCAGCGCCAGCGGCAGTTCGGTGGCGTCAGAGCATGGTCAGAGAAACTTGACTCGCAGGACGGCTCAATATTTGACGTCACTGCACTGGTGCAGATCGCGCGGGAACTTCAAATTACGAATTTCGAAAATTGTTTTTTTACTTCACAAATACTGAATTCCCAAGTTTCGCATTTTAAGGATAATGTCCAGGCATTGTTTTGAATTGTTTCGAATAATAAAAAAAAAATGTTTCGATGTGTGAGTGCCCCTTTAAAGTAGCTAAGGGACTTGCCTGTATCTGTTTTTCGTTGGTGTAGTCTAGCCGACCTCCAATGGCGTTCCAAAACTCCTGCTTCTCCTGGCCCTCAGAAACCAGGACCATCTCCCTGAAAGTATATTGAAAAAGAGACGGCAAACATAATAGTTTTCTCCGGTCACAAGTTAACTCTGGTATATTCTGTTTTGTTCAATCAGTGCATTGTTATACAATCACTAATAATTTCTTCAATAGCTTTATACAATCACTAATAATTTCTTCAATAGCTAAGGGCCAACCCCCCACCCCAAAACGTTTTCTTTTTCCAGGTATGCTGGATCAGTGTCGTGATGTAGGCGAGTTGGTTCATGGTAACGGAAATAAACAGCACGCAAAGAATACACAAGGACGAAAGGAAGGTGCGAACGACACAAGCGCTGAACTCACAACTAAACATTCATTGAAAAAACACCAACGAAGTAAACCGCACTATCGCTTCAGCACGTGTCAAGATAGGCAATTTCTTTTTTGTGAAGAAAAACCGATGTTTGGCTGACGCATGCATCTTGCCCCTCTTTTGTTATTGCATACGCTTCCAATAATTCCCTGGTAGTTTTATCTGTGCCCCTCCTGATGGTGGTGATGTTATTGAATTGGGGCTGGCATTTACAGGCAGCACAATGCAGAGGCAAGTGACCCCCAGTGGTCGACCGGAGTGTCCAGTCATGCTCACGTGCCCTGTCATTAATGCATCGGCCAGTTTGGCCGATGTACACTCTTCCGCAACTTAGTGGTATCTTGTAAACCACCCCCACCACACAATCCACATACTTGTTCCTGTGCCTTACAGCACATTGGCTCCTGCCCCTAGCCTTATCCGCAATTCTAGGGCAGAGTTGCGCCAACTTTCGTGGCACCGAAAAAACAACAGGGACGTCAAACCGCCCAGCTACCTTTTTCAAATTGTGCGAGAGTTTGTGCATGTAGGGGAGTACCTGGGGTCTGGTTGCGGGTCTCTCTTTTTTCTGACTTGACCCTCCCTTAATCTTTTTAGCAACGTCTGCGCCAGTGCCAGAATAACCGACTGGATCATTATAAACACCAATTTTGCTCCTCTAGAAATACATCTGCGAACTTCTTAAAATCTTAGCATTGCCCATTTAAAAACGGATTTGTTTTTATGGCCGCCGCATGACACAAACACACATTCTGGAAATCGTCGCCCTCACCCGTTGTCACAAAAAAAAAGCATCAGCCAATGAGTTTTACTACACCCTTTTTATTGCGTAACCCGAACAACTGCAATCTGCCACTGGCGCACGTACATGTTAGTTTCTGGCCGATGGCTGGCACTCGAGCGCAAAGAGGGGCTCAAAACATGACGCATTTCACACACTTCTCCGGGATTCTAGGCACCACAACTATGGTGCCTGGAATGCGTCTCCTATTCGTGCGTCTACGTCTTCCGCAAAAGTGGTCCCTCCATCTTCACCGGATGGTGTCGTACTCGTGTCGTACTGCTGCCCGCCGCGACACCTGCAGCGGCACGATGGCAGAGCTGGATATAGCAGATACATGTTCTGCTGTAGGTTGCTCTCTACGGAAACTTGGGGCAATCACGAGTTGAGACGCCGCATCGACGGCGACACTTGTCATCGCTTGTACCGTTCGTCACAACTTCTACAACCAATCGCCGGGACCGCAACGTCTGACAGCATGACACATTGGCTTCAAGACTACTTTAGACGCACGGCTAGCTCGGGACGCCAAATGCACCGGGGGAAGACATGTCCCGTACTCAGAGACGACGTCTTCTGGCGTCTGAGAAGGGCAGACCGTGCATGCAGAGCTGCGATCGGCGCTCAAGGAGCGCAAGCGTGCGGGTTGTTGGTCCCCGAGTATATAAAACCGAGTTGACGCCGCTAATACACTGTACCAAAGACAGTCTGCAGATGCAGTCTGAGGCGTGCTTCTTCCTCGTACGACAGTCCCGTGACGCTGGTCACGCAAAAGCCGTCTGCAGACACGTTCGAAGCAGACGTGCTTTGGACGTGCTCGAGGGGCATTTGCGGCGGACTTAACGTCCTATTCTGCCCGTGCATTTAAAGTGGCAAAAAATTACATCCCAAAAGCCAGATTTGTTCCGCCGTCGGACGTCACAATCCCGGCAGTTGGGCGTAGAAGTTCTGGAAAAAAAAAAGCGGGAAACAACGCAAAGCGGTGATTGCACGTCGGGGATGCATTGCAGGAACCGTACCCGAGCTAACCTACAACCGTGACGGAACCACGTCGACTTACATTCCCGACCCGGTGGCGATCTTCTTGGCCATCTCGCGCTCGTCGCCGGTGCTCTTGCGGCCCGCCCAGACGTAGACGACTCCTCCACCGCTGGACAACAGGAACACGTCGCCCGAGTTGAGGGAGGCGGCGGTGCACGGCACCTGCACCGCCTTGGTGTTGTGCTGGGTGGTGCCGTGCACTCGCAGGAGGTACACGCGCGGGAAGTTGTGAACGCCCCCGCCGTGGTCCGCGGCGATGCCGTTGCCGTTGGTCACCGCGCTGCCGCCGTTGATGCCTTCGTCCGCCGCCTGCCGTCCGCCACGTCACGGGAAAGGGGCAGGGACGCCGTTTGTAAAGCAATGTGGAGTCCAGGTTCATCAGCTTTCTTTGCGGGGGTTGCGGCGACGTCAAAACGCCGGGCTCGGATTGGCTAGGATCAAAGGACAGTGGGTAGACCTCGAGGCAGTTTGGTTCTAGGTCTACCTACTGTCCTTCGATCAGAGCCCATCGGAGCTTGGCATTCCGATGGCGATGTCAAACCACAACCCCCCCCACCTCCAAAAGAAGCGGACGAACATGTGCCTTGCATTGTTCTCTTGTCGTAACCAATCGCAAGCTGTTGCGGCACAGTCAATTGCACTCAAATGCAAAGGTGTAAACTACCACTGTTGGCATATACATATCTTAATGCTTTTTTTTTTTTGTAATTTATTCATGTCACTAGTCCCGTCTGAAAGACCGCAGAGAGAGGCATGCTCGATAGAGTTGTTGCACGCGGCCCTACAATCACGGATGATCTGAGTACATTAGGGAGGAGCTTGAGTTGTCCCGCCTGCATCACGAGCTTCCTACCTTCGTTTTCTGCACCTTGAGCATGCGCGCACATTCAAAGCCCTGCTGTTCACATTCTGTCAAGTACAGGTCATTGTCGACGTACAACTTAATATCAAATTGTTTCGTGGCCTAATGTTAAAATTCCTATAATTTCGGGGAATTCGCGAGTCTCGAGATTTGTAGTTGAAAGGGCAACTCCGCTTTATTTTCATTTTTGAAAAGAAAAAAAAAGAAAAAAACGGTGCAGTTCCCTTTGGTGTCACCTGGGAAGATCATGCATCAAATGTTATGACATCGTTCTGTCTACATGTTTCCTAAACGGTCCAACAAACTTTGGAATGCGCCAAGCTGCCGAAGTCTGCCAACTCTAGCGGACGAATTGGGGCACGGCCAACGGCGCAGTCGAGACTACGGTGTTGGCGTAGCCAACATGAAGCTAAACGTCATTGCCTTTTATTAGTGCTTTTTAATGTATCACCGATAAACCCCAAAATGTTTAGAATTAAGCTGAGTTGTCCCCTAAGAACGAGCTAGCTCATAGTGCTACAAATCCTGGCAAACACGTTATAGTCAGCTCGTTTATAATGAAACCCGTAGTTGCGAGTCAGCGCTCTGTCCCGTCCCGTCGTTCTTCCCGTCTTTACGTTTGCACCATTTTACCTTGGTATCTTCCACTTCTAGTTAGTGTAATGCATAAACCTTGTTAGCAGTTGCGGTTGCATCGCGACTCTCGTCAGTAAATTTGTTCAGCCTGGCACTTGTTTAGGCACCATTAAATAAATGTATCGGTCAATCGCATTGAAGTTAGCCAGTCTGCAGGCTACCAAGTCATACCTCGAACACAATCATCTGTCCCGAAAAGATGGTCATGAAGTGGGGCGTCTCTTTTCCCTGAACGAGCCGTACCTGCCAAAAAAGAACCAGACACGAGAATATTTGGTGAGGTCCGCATCACTTCATGTGAACTATACTCTGCTTCGTACTAAGTCCAACCGCAGGCAGCGCTACCATATCCGACAAAACTAACCAAGCAGCATCAAAAGTGCATCATCGCAGCACTCGCCGTCTTTGTGCGTTCGCTATCGCCGGCAAAACCAATCGCGCATAATGACTGCAATCCCACAAAAAGACGACGAGCACCGCGACGACGCACTTTTGTCGCTGCTCCATCGGTTTCATCGGGTCGTAGCGTCGGTGGCAGTCAAACCAGGGCGTACGAACGAAGAAGTCCTCTCACCAAAACGGACTGGCCGTGGAAACGATCGTCCAGCTCTCGAGCCTTGAGCGCTGCCGTCCGCTTGTCGTCCGTTGATGCGTTTTGACCCTGCAGGGAGAGACTTCTGAGAAAGTGCGTGCGGAGTTGTAGGAGGGCTCTAGAAATTAAACCTAGATTCTGACACACTAGATATGACAGGGCGTCTCGTTTCCCGCAATCTGCGGACCGTTTTTTTGTGGTGGCTGCCATGTTGAATTTCAATATAGCTGATGGTTAGTGCAAAATAACAAATCACTTCTTTATCTTTTGCAGATTGGAAGGCACCAGAAATCAAGGCGTTCGTGCCAATAGTTATACTTTTTTCGTGGCTCTATTTTTCCATTTGCAGTTATGGTTAAACTTTCTACTTTATGTTTTGTCACTCAACTCAGCTACGTCATATGTGGCGGGTTCGAAACCCCGCCGAGGTGCCCACAATCTGACTGAGGCTTATTGCCGAGAAGATGCCGTGTAACCGAGCTTTCAGTTGCACATCAAAAGGTCCCCAGTTGGTCGAAATTAATCCTCAGTCCTCCGCTGGGGCGTGCCAGATGCCCGTCGTTGGTTTGGCATGTAAAACCCCCAAATTTGACGTTTTGACCAGCTACGTCATGTTTCAACGTGGCGACCGTCGCACACAAAAAGTCTATGTTGCCAGTGTCAGACTTGCCATCATCAACAGAGCCGCAAACTCGAGCCGAGTCTCATGCAAAACATAAGACTCGCAGGAAGCGTACAAGTTTCGAAAACGGGCCAAAGGGGGCGGTGGTGACAAACGGCCAGTGATCGATCACCCAGACGAATGTGAGCATTCCATAAGATTCCAGCAAGTGCGCACCTCCACATTTTGTCGTTGCAGTCGAACCTCAATTTATGGAAACCCGATTTTATGAATTTCCCCATTTAACAAACAAATTCGGATTCCCCGCGCAGCCTATGCGCGAGGTCTCCCTTCTTCGATTTTACGAAGTTCCCGATTTCACGAAATAATTAGCGGGTCCCGGTGACCTCGTTAAATCGAGGTTCAACTGTATTTTGATTTCAACTGAATACCTGTTACCGTAATGTTTCGAGAGATAGCCTGCCAAAGCCAGGTGAATTATTGTCATAGGTGCTAGGTTTTCAATTTTTGTCTAAATAATTAAGAATAAAAAAATTTTTTATGGTCATTTGTTTTTTATTGTAGTGTGAAAAAGCCGCGCACAAAGTTTCTTTGTGGGGCAAATTGTATCTGAACCTGGTGAAACCCCAAATGCACAACCTGCTGGTGATATCACTAAAATCTCAAAATTCGTCTTTGGTCAAGCTTTTGGTAAAAATATCGAGAAATAAAATCTGCCACAAAAATGGTCTTCAGTCTTATGCATTCTGGTCAGGAGTTGACCCAGTATGCATATATTCTTGAAATGTTTCTGAACCATGGCCCTCCTTTGATGTGCAATTTGAAACTAAATCGCTCACAATTGCAATTGTCTTTCTTCTTGAGCGATTTTAGGTTGCTAAGTATCTCTTACAGTGCATGCTGTTCATTGGGGTGCCGTTTGCTCCCCCAAGACATTTAGCTCTCCCTTCGCTTTCAAGCATGTTTACTTTTAGCTCCTACGCGGTGAAATAAACGGCGACTGTGCACTCACCAGCCAGTAGTACACAATGCAGTCCTCCTTCGTGCCCGAGTCGTAGATATAGACGATGACGTAGCAGCCGTTCGAGAAGAACTTTCCGTGGTCTCTCAGCTCGACGGAAACCAGATTCAAGTTTCGGACCCGGAATACCTAAGAAATGGGAAAGTCGAGTGCGAGTAATTGACCTGGCCATCCTTTCAAAGAAGTTGTAACGTCTTGACTGTAGTAGTAGTTGTGTTAAGGCGGTACCGAAACGAAATTCTAGCACCTGGCAACACCGCAGAAACACAAATTAGTTGTTCGAAAAAAAATATCAAAACTCAATTTAAAACGAAAAAACCATTTACCAGATTGCACCTGGTGGATATGTTCTCAACTATAGTTTGAATGTCATTACATCTCCCTTCCCATCGAAGCGGCGCCGCTCCGCAGAAGTGTGGCGGCAAGTTGCGTGCATGCGCTCCCTGTCGAACCTAGCCAAACCAGATTTCCCTTCTCTACCGCGCCTATTCAATCAACTCCTGCTGAGAGAAGGGGGTATGAAGTGGAGGGGAGTAACATTTCCGCCTCCGCCGGCATTGCCAAAGCAGTTGCCGGGCATTTCGAATGGCCAGGTCGTAATGCGTCGATGCCACCTAGTGGCGAAGCTCCATGCCAGCCTCCCCGTAGCCCTGCCCGTGAAGGGAAACGTGATGTCACGAACGCACTGGATCTCTCGGGACGCGTCGCACTCTTTGACGACTGCTCTTCGAGCGCTCGCTGGAGTACCCCGTGTGGAACGAAAAACATAGCCGTCCGTTTGAAAGCACTACAAATGTGCGGTTGTCATTAGCAGGCTTTGTTGATTGTGTTTAGCTTATTTCTGAACGTGAGGGGTATATTTCAATTTTAATTTAAGTATACCTTTAATAGTTCTATTTTTGGAAATTTGTTGTTACTGGACCGCTTTTTCTAGGTTGGCCATGCAGTGATTTTTGTGCTTCCAGTAAATACCGCTTAGGATTAATCCTGAACGTTCACAACCTATTGGGGAGATCCAACCGTCGTGCCCCTGGCGGCTAAGCTGAGAACTCCACCCATGGGGACGACGTCAATAAATATTTGACTGCGTTTCTGTTGCGGCATTCGGCTGGGGGAACACGTTCAATAATTGAATCACCAATTGAACATGAGTCAAGCCTGATGCGGACGTAGCGTAAGTAGTGCTCGATCAGGAAAGATCTAAAGAATCCGGTCTGCAGGCCTTGTGCTACGTAAACACCGAGTTCCGTGGGAAAACGAGCTGAACAGAGCACCTCCTATAGTTAGAGCTCCTCGCCATTAAAACATGCATTAGTTTTTCTCTCCACGTAGAGGCAGTCACCCTTTCAACTTGCAGTCAGAACAGGTGGCCGTAGGATCTGGTGCCAATTACCGTAAAAATCCTGAGCAAGTGCCCACTCAAAATTTGGAGATGATTATGTAAAAGTGGGGGTCCTTGGGTCATAAAATATGGAAAGATGTGTCCTTCATGTACTTCCCAAATGTTAAAAAGTTGAGGGGTGGGCGCTCATTGTGGGATGGGCGGACGCTCGGTAGTTTACGGTGCATGTCGCCAATGTTCATCGTAATCACACACTGGGGTTGGTATGTGCACACCTGCCAAACTTCCGAAACTGTTAGGTTGTTGTTGATTACGGGCTTTATGGTGCAAAGCCGGACACCATTAGGGTTCACTATGGATCATCTAGCTTTGCAAAGTAGAGGCTGAAAAAAAAAAAAAAAATTGTAGAGCCCTTTCACTTCATGTGAAAATAGAAGACCAGCGAAGCTGTAATCTTTACAACGTCTAGGACGATCGCCTAGAGGACAACGTCTAGGACAACCTCAAGGACGACTTCTAGGCAACCTCAAAGACAACATCTAGGATGACTTCTAGGACGACTTCTAAGACGACTTCGAGGACGACGCCTAGGACGACTTTTAGGATGATGCGTAGAGGACAGCCTTTCGGACAACCTTAAGGACGACCTCGAGAATGACTTCTAGGGCGACACCTAGAGGACAATCTCTCAGACGACCTCAAGGACAACTTCTAGGACGACTTTAAGGACAATGTCTACGACGACCTCAAGGACGACCTCAAGGACGACCTGGAGGACGATGCCTAGATATGATAACAAGGGATCAGGACCTCGATATCTAATAATGCCAAGGAAGGCTGACTAATGCTAATTGCCCCCTCTTTTTGTTTTTATTTATTCATACTTGACCCCTCTTTGTTTTATTTATTCATACTTGCGATGACCAATGGGGAGTTTTCTGTCGGCATGTGAGGACACATTTTTTCCCAGACCCTAGCGTATAACAGCTTCGCTGTAAAAGTAGACCGCTTTTCTCCTCTAAATTAGGCCGCATTGTAGAGGTGCAAGATGCGTCTTAAGTCCATCCGTGCAACGTCGCTGCGAAGCAACAAAATGTACACTCTCTGTGACCCTTGCCTATGATAATACAGGAGAGAGGCAAATTTCTTTTTATAGCCGAGTCCTATGCACTGTTTCACGACAAATTGATGAACCGTGGAGGCTGCGGCCTGATGACCCAATAAGGGCTTCGAAGCAAGACACGTGGCAACAGTAAATGGTCGAGGCCACGGAGGCCTCGTTATTGCCACAGCATGAGTGCCGTCTGCGACAAAAAGTAGTCCTAGGATTTTATTATTTTTTAATGGCAATTGAATTGCGCGATTGCATCTCTATCGACATTACGTTACGCGACACAAAAGAAAAACGAAGACAAGCTACTTTTCAAAGATACTTAGTTTGGATCGACTTTTTTCTGAGAACAACGTGGCTTTTGAACAATGTTTGAACAATAGCAGTGTCTGTAATCGACCGATTCTGCTCAAAATGTCGCCCTGGCATTAGCACCCCTTACAGGTTCGCGGGCAAATTGAGCGTATGGTTGTCTCATGAACGGTTCTTGAAGTGCTCGCTAGTCTAGCGGACGGCAGTGGTGTGGCGGTGGACGTTCATCCAAAGTTGGTAGGTTTCACAGCAGACGACTTTTGGCCAGCAGACGACAGCCGGTTCCTCTGGGCCTCGCATCTGACGCAGTGACGCAAATACTCCCATGACGTATTGCTCTGTGCCTCGCCCCGACTCTCTCAGTGGATTGCGGGAGCCATATCCTCCACAGTTGGCCAAGTTATCGTGAAACTGATTATACTGTAAACGACTTAATTTTCGCGGGCTCAAATTTTCGTGAATCGGGCCAAAGCTTAAAATTATTCTCGGGTACTAATTTTTGCGAATCGAGTGTAGCTTCTGTAGCGTTCACATATTGGCCCAATTGTTCGCGGGACGCATTTTTCGCGAATTGTAGGCGATCTGCAAAATTCGGGGAAATTAGGTCCTCGCGAAAATTTAGTCATTTACATTAGTAGATTGTATGTTCCATCAAAATTATGTACTTGGCGTCTACTATTTTGCACTAAGTTGTCATAACTAGCGTAGCTTCCACAGTGCCACAGCTTGTGCTCCAGTACAGGGCTGAAGCTCCATGGAAGCTACCCTAGCCTCGACAGTGTTGCACAAAATAGTTGACGCCGAGTGTAGGGTACTTTAGATACCGAAGCAGAAGTACCTCTCGCTTTCCCGTTCCATCGTCGACCACTTGCATCTGGGCCGAAAGGGCCGGGTTGGAGTGGAGTGTCGGCGCATCAAATTTGGTTTGGACTGTCTTGGCTGGCAGGATGCAGAACAAGGTGAGCATGCCATCAGCGCCCAAAAGACTCTCAGCATTAAAGTGAAATAGACCGTTCATTTGTACACATGTGACCTGCAGTTATCGCAAATGCGACATCGGCTTTTTTTTTTTTTTTATGCCGCACTGAGACAAGGTTAACAAGCACCAAATACTGCCACTTAAATTGGTGTCCCGAACAAGGTATTTTTACCACCTCAGTAGTTTTGATGACGGCTTTGCAATTCCAAGAGGAAAAACTGGTGATTGCTTGTTGTTGGTGTCCGTGCTGCATTATGTACACCTTGTTGGTGCAAGGACAGCTTGAATATTGATGTTTGCAAAGATAAGAAAATTAACCTTTAATTTTTTTTTTTCCACATGTTAAAACTTCTAACATGTGTGTCCACCACCTAGTGTCACTGTTATAGAAAATTGGAACTGCGGGGGTCAAGCAAAGAGACTCGTGTGGTTTACTAAATCAATGTTGCAACACATTTTCCCAATATAGTCCCAAAAAATAATCCCCCAAATCCTTTTTTTAAATTTTTTTTTGCAGGAAAGGTTTGATTAAAATTATAGTAAAACTGGTATGATGTAAGTCACAATTTAAATCACTTTTTTTGCTCTCTACCTTGCAAGCTACTATAATTACGATTGCAAAGTTGCGACGACACGCAGTCAACCGTTGTGCGAATGTTTCGAGAAGAACCAACCGATTTTGTGTGCAGAGTGCGTCTTCCCGGGCAGGGCGGGGTGCTCGGTGTCGTGCCACACCCTGAAGAGGCACTTGAACCCCATTGGCTCCCCTCCCTCGATGACACGCGCCACTTGGGTGCAGTGCGGGTAACCTTTCTTCTTGATGAAGCCCTGCATCGCATGTCGCTCAGCATGGTCAGTAGAGATCAAGGTGCATAGTTGGGCACGTCGGTGCATAATCGGAGTAAATAAAGAGTAGCAAAGGAAGGACACAACGGCAAGCAGAAGACACACCCAAACACAGCACCGACCACCGACTCTTATTATCTTTCGCAACAAAATATGTTTGCATGTAAAAGAAGACGCAGAAAAAACAAGACTGCATACCTCCATCACACCATTCCGTACAACTACGCTACCAGGAATGTGTCTGATTGGTGTGTTCACTGTGTTTTAGAAAGTGGTCCCTCAATTTCTACCCATTGGCTAAACATCCCAATGGATCCGTTATTTCTTGTGAGAGAAAACGACAGCCATCGCTGAGTCTGTGCGCATCTTCTACTCATCCTTCTGTTCTGTGTGTCGTTTTATTTATGCTGGTCACGCCGGAGTTTTTCCTATTGGGAGAGCACGGTTGTGCGAGCGAAGGAACAGACCTGTGCGTTGCGCATGGCCTCCGTGCGCTCCTTGTGGCTCGCCTTCTTGCCGACCCAGACCCAGATCCCGGCCTCTGCATTGTCCACGATGTAGGAGTCCTGCGGGTGCGGGGGATAAAGGCGCTGCTTGGCTCTCACAAAGGGTTCAGAGCAATGGATATTTTGAAGGGAGCTTCAAGGGAGTTTCTAAAAGGAGCTTTTAGCCAGAGCATTGAAAGGAAACATTTTAAAGGGAGCTTTTGGCGAGAGCATTTAAAAGAAATTTTTAAAGGAAGCTTTTAAACAGTGTTTTGAAGGGATCTTTTTTTTTTTTTTTTTTTTTTAGAAGGAGAGCTTCAAGGGAGTTCTTAACCCTTTAACTACCTGGCCCGAGCTGTACTCGTCATGGAAGGTTGTACCAATATCGCCGATGACGAGTCAGACTCGTCCAGCCAAAATGAGGGTTTGTTTTCACTGCCAAACACGAGACAGGTTTGTCCATCGGCTTTAGTTTCAATTTTCAACACTGGAGGCCAGGAGAGGTCGCACAAATGTAGCGTGTTTTGGCTTTTGGCGTGTATCAAGCCTTGCAACAGTGATCAGAAATGGCAGCATGCTTGAGCGATGCCGGTGACGGCCCTCGGAAACGGGCTCTCTCTTGCGGCAGTTTGAACAGTAGCGACGATGAAGACATCGAATTTGTCTCTCGAAGTGAGTCGGACATGAATTTTGAATACGAAACGGACTTAGACGACGACCACAGTGACGAAGAAGACGACGCGCTGGGTAGTGTTCGAGTGTGGCAACGCGCAAACCACGTAAACACTGAAAACCCGCTACCTGCGCCTCCGAGGTTTCCCGTTTTGTGCAGTGCCTGGGATTCTGCGGCAACCCACTGACGAAAAAGACATTCTCGGCTGGTTCGAGGTTTTTTTCTTGATTGGGACCTTGTTGACCTCATTGTGACAGGGACAAACCGCCACGCGGTCCCGAATTTCGCTGCGCGGGGCTCTTCATGGAAACCGGTGGATCGCAAAGAGATGATAGTGTTCCTTGCACTAATAATTTTGCAAGGAATCGTTGGCAAACCGCAAGTTGAGATGTATTTGTTAGCGCTAGTACGGAGAAACGTCTAGGCTCTTGATCTTTTGTTACGGTGCGTATGTTCAAATAAATACTGCACATTTCAGCACCTATTACTCTTAAATGCACTGAGGAAAAGCTTCCATAAAAATGAACTTTTTCTTTTAAAAGGTTTATGTTAATACCAATCAGAAACCAATCAAGTAATGTATTTGCAATATCAGGACGACGTAAGAAACAATATGTGGAAATAAAATTTGGGAAAGTTGGTACATTTTTTTCAAAACTAACTTGGTGGATAAAGGAAGTGTGAAACAGAAGCTGGCAATCGAAAAACTGAGGATAGTTATGAAACTCAAGATGTCTCCCTTGCGCTGCGGCTCGGGCGAGTTCAACTAAGAAGATCACCGGTCGTCGGGAGGTATCCTTTCCTTTGTCTGTCTTCTTGAATAAAGTGTGGGACTGTGTAGTCGAGCTTTTAAAACTGCAAACGACCCCACAAAGCGTGCTGCGATCGACAACGGTAGCTGCTGCGTCGTGAAAAGGCCCTCTCTAGCGTGAAAGTTGGGGCCCCGCGTCCTTTGCAGCTCCCATGCCGTTGCAAACCTTTGCCTACTCTGTTCGGCGCGCCTGGTATGCCCGGCCCTCAGACACAGCGCGATGCTTGCGTGGTTTGGCCACGTGTGTTAGAAGGTGAGCGAGGGCTGTTTGTGGCCGCAGCTGCGGTGGAAGAAGCGAAGGTACGTAGGTGAGCCGTCCTTTGGAGGTGCAGAGAGCCCATGAGAATGGAACCTGGCAATGGGCAGGCAAGGGGGCGTGTCGTCGCAGCGCGACCACGTGGGTATTTCGCAACGGCGGCTGCTGTAGAGTAAAGGTTTCGCGCTCGTACATGAGCATTTTTTGCCGGGAAGGGGCACTGGTATCCACCTCTGTAAAAATGTGCAGCTGCATCTCGACCTATCGATCAAACCGTCGTTCGCAGAATTGCACTTTATGAGAAATGCAGCCGACGCTCGTGTTCGACCTCGTCTAATTTCAAGCACCGCCGTCACGTCTTTTTGAAGTGCCGCCTTGCCCTCCTCCCTTACCTTTTTATCCTCGCAACGACGCATGCAAGAAGAGACGACACCTACACGTCATCATGACCTACCTCTCACCGATACGTCACGTGACTGACACAGTGGCGTAAGTGGCGATTGGAGCGCACGGAGAGCGGCAAGTAGAAATGTGGAAAGAGCAACTCTGCCTCCTCCACTCTGGCACCTTTTTCGCTCTATTGGGGAAGCCCTTCTCCTTCCACTTGTGCTACCCTCTCCACTCTACCATCTCCACCCCACGCCAGAAATGCGCATAGAACAGGGGTTAGCTCTTCCACAATCCTGCGTGATCGTGCGTAAGATGAAAAGAAATGCGAACCTACATAAATGCAGCCGTTTCTGTGTGCTTTAGAAATGTAAAGTGTTTACTCTTAGCACTAGAATTTCAAAATTATCGAAGGACCGAATGTGCGAAGGAACACTGGTCTCGAAGAGGCATGCTGTCGTGGCAAAGCGAGGGCAGGCATGCAAACATGCATGGGAAAAAAGTGCAAGCATGAGCCGTTGTCCCAGGAATGCATTTGTTCTCACCTCTGCCTCCTCAGAAAGCTTCGCCACAGCCTAGACTAGCCATGGCAGTGACTACAGGGAAGGGGTATGTTGACAGAAAAGAGCACCATCACCCAAAGCACGAGCAACGACACTATATAGTTTCTTTCACTTTATGCGCGAGCGAATCCAAAGGTACAAACACGAGCATGTTGCCCCGAATGATGCTTGCACTGCATGAGCACGCATGCTTGGGGGGGTGCTGAAGTCCCTGTGCTCGCTCTTGTAGCCCCTGCTACGCTCGCACTCAAAGTGAAATAGAGCATGGAGCACTGGTTGTGTCAGGCATTTGTAAAGCTGCATGTTGCACTCAAGGTGTGGTATTGTGCCACCTTCGTGTGGCTGTTGCATTTCTTTCACAGTTGCTTTTATATCTATTATACCGTGAATGTGGCACAGTGTTCCGTGTGAAACGATGTCTATAATCAAATGATGCATAAGCACCACACATATCTCTTGCTTTTGCTTGTTTCATTAGATTAAACATCTTAAACTTTCTTGTCTGGGGTCAGACGACGAAAACGAATACAGTGTAGACCGCATATAACGTATGTCGCGGGAGTTGCGAAAATCCGCACTATAAGCGGTACCGCGTTATAACCAAAACATCAATTTTTCAGGCCAAAATACATGCCATGAGACAACCTACCTTTGTAAAAGAATTTATTTTATGTTAGATGAAAAATAAAGCTTAGTTTGAGGAAAGTCTTTATTTCACCAGACTAGTACACATCTCTCTCAAGTGTGTCACACATTTTAAAAGAAATAAGCGGCTTTTGCCTGGCGCAGCCTTTTAACGGCGTCGCGGGTTGCGGACGGACGTTGCGAGCGTTCAGGATTGCTAACCCTAATCACTTTTCTCCGGAGATGAAAACGCGTGAAAATTCGGATCCTTCATACGGTACGCGCCAGTAATACCTTGAACTTGAGCACAGGCATGAAATGCTCCAAATAAGAAATCCGGACGATGTTCAAAAACACAAATGCTTAGAAAGCACCACTTTAGCCGAAGTAAACAAACGCGACGACACGGGTGTTTCTGCCGTCTTGAGAGCGCCGCCACCTCGCCGCACGAGTAGGTGGATCTTCCCTTCTAGTACGTGCTGGGTTATCATAGTGACACACAACGAAAATTCACTGTCAAGGATAGCGTCTTTACGCGGAACGATGAGATGAACGCCACAACCGACGCCATGTTTGCGGACAGAAGCCGCCGGCCCGCGATTGGCATGCAACGCGCACGAACACTTCTCGACCTGCGATTGGTCTGTCGTTTCGGTTGTTTGTTTCCAACGCAGCGGAGGGACGCACACACATGAACGACACGTGCGTGCGTCCTTCCGTCGCTATGGCAAATGAAGCCTCTCTCTTCGCTTCTTCGAGCAACCTCCTTGCCCCGCGAGTGCCGTTTGCGGCTCGCGCCATTATCTAGTGTCGCACAGGGAAGCGTGCTCGCTGCTCCGGTCGTCGGTGCGGTCGGCGGGCTGTGCCAGAAACCGCACTATAACCGGTATTTCCCTTCGCGCGCCTGCATTTTAAGCGGTATGTAATTACATGGAGTTCTATGGGAGGCGAACCGGTGGTTTAAAAAAACCGCGTTATACCCGGTGCTGCACTATAAGCGGTTACGTTGTAAGTGGTCTATACTGTATCACACATCTGCACTTATTACAAAAAAAAGCTGTTCGTCTAATACACAATTCTGCTTATGATGCACATACAGCTCCGCTTTTTGAGAAGTATAAAATTTTGAGCTTTGAGCATCTCTACATTTATAAACTAGCACTCTATATATTTCATGACCATAGACTTCAACAACCTAGCTATCCATCTGCATGCACTAGACCCGACCACCATTACAACACTCGAAATGACAAGTATATACTCCCCAAAATCAGGACAAACATGGGCAGACAAACACTCTCATTTCAAATCCCAAACTTCCTTAATGCACACAGTTATCCTGATACACTTATTACGTCAAATATATTGCTAAACAGATACGAAAGCATAGTGAAAGAAACCCTCTTGCCCACAAATGTCGCAAACTGATCTGAAATATCTGGCTTAATCCTCTTTGCTATCTGTTCTTTTTTTTTTTTGTAGGCTTTTTTGTGTTATGGTTTTATAGTATAGTTTTATAGTATCAAAAATGTGTACTATCAAAATGTCATAGATATGTATATTTTGTTATTCATTACATTTTATTTAAGAGCGCTTCTTGTTTTAGTGTGCTCTGCTGTCGACGAGTGCCATTGTCTTTTTAATATTCATTTATGTAGCGGTACCAAGGCCTCGTCAGACCTTCTGGTCTTTTGCCTTGGTACTGCGGACAAAATGTATTGTCTGAACAGACTGAACTAAATAAAAAAAAAACAAAAAAACTGACATGACTGGGAATGTGAGACAGATATGTCACAGTTGAGTCATGCTTAAGTTACATAAAATGGTGCTTAGGGTTAATTTATGTCAAAGCATCTAACTCTTTCATTCAGTATTACTACAGAAGCTAGCAGATTTAAATGCTGATGTTACTTTGAGAAAATGGATAATTACCTCACTTCATGGCAGCAGCAGGTGGTGATAAATTAAACATGCTCCGGTCGTGTAGTTGTCTCATCTGATGCGCCCCAGGGCCTCTACTGGGGCCACCCCTCTCCCTCACTCACATTAATGATGTTTACTGTGGAATTGAATCTAAGATACAATTGCTTGCCAACAGTGGTGCCAGTTATTCACTAAAGTGTTGGATGAAACGGATTCCATAGCAACCTCTCAAGCATAGAAACACAACGTAAGAATAACAGGATGTCTTTGAACAATAAAAAGTGTGTTCACGTAAGATTCTCACAAGAATGTCTTATATTAGTTCATCAACAGTTCCCCAACAACGAAACTATAGGAACAGAATCTACATTTAAACATTCAGGTGCGAGTTATTCGGCCGATGACGGTACGTGGACAGCGCAAGCGAACAGTGTGGTTGCCAGGGCAAGCAGGTCTTTTGGCTTTTTACGGCAGAACTGAAAACGTGTGACCATAAAAGGAGCTTAAAGAGGCAGCATATCAAGCACATGTAAGAACAGTATTAAAGTATGCGTGCCCCATGTGCAATCCGGTTCACCAGGTTCGTGTCAGTGCGCTTGAACATGTTCAATCTGCTGCTGCTCCGTTTGTCCTGGAGAGGTAGGATCGTTTCCTCAGCGCAACCGAAATGCAAAAGGAACTGGGCCGGATACTTTTAAGTGAATGGCGTAAAAATCTCCAGCTTCAGCCGTGTTATTCATAAAAAATATAGGAAAGGTGCAGGCAAGCCGGTGTATATTAACCACATTGAATTCACCCGAGACTGGGGAAGAAGAGAAACATCAAAATGCAAAAGGAACAGATGACAGACAGGACAACGTCTAAAAAGATGTTGTCCTGTCGGTTTTCTGTTCTTTCTACGTTCCGATGTTTCCTTCTTTACCAGTTTGATGTTAGTTCAGTGTGGTTAATGCTTTATTCAATTAATGATAACTGAACGGGAATTCGTACTGCATCGTTTCTACGCTCACCACGTTACCATTCCTCATTCCTCTCGATTGGACCATTGTAGCAAAGTTCAGCCATTGTTCTCCAGGTCAAATATCCTATCTCCCTTTGCACGGACCATCACGGAATGGAACTCGCCTGGTGTGCTGCGAGACTGCGGATCTTTTTTTTATAAAGCTTCGTGCCCCCGCAATAATGCTTTTACAGGCGCAGCGGGTTTTTCTATGAATGAAAGAATAAAATATGGGGATATTTCAAGAAAGAAAAACCTGGAAATTGGGAGAGATATACTCGAGCATTTTGTTTTATTGGCGTCCATCAGGGATGGGCAAAATACATGTAATTATGTATCGAAATACAAATAAAAATACTTCGTCAAAAATGTATTTAATTACAAATCGAAATACATTTCCAAAAAAGCATTTAAATACAAGATACAAATACAACCAAATGTATTTGGTTTCCTCCAAATACTTTCTCAAATACATTCCTCAAAATTCGCGTCAGCGACTTCAGGGCACCTGCAACGGGTTTCTGGGTATCTCATTTTAATTTTGCGTCGCACACTCGGGAGTTAGTGAGCGAGGCTCTAGTAACGGTAATAAAAATGTAATTAAAAAAAAAAAAAAAAATGTAATCAGCTTGAACGTAATAGATGAAAAAAGTACAGAGCTTCGAGCAGCTTTTTTTGTCGATTACATTTTGGTATAGACCAACAAAGAACCGAGACGACCAAGACGTGCAGCACTAGCTAGAGAATTTTTTTATTGTTGCAACTCGCACCAGTTACGAACATCTGGACGACCCGTGCATTTAGAATATTCCAGGCAAAAATATGGATGGAAATCAGGCTGGAAAGCATCAAAAGTTGTTACAGGCCCTTATTTAGCCAGTCTGCCTGTGAACGTCGATTTCGTCACTATTCTTGCCCTGGACTAGCACCGTAACCACAAAGTCACTAAACGCATGTGCTTGATTGAGAGACAGTGCATTCGGTGCAGAACATAGTTTTCTTCCTGCTCTGGATAGAGACAATAAATTTGAGGAATGTATTTTCGCCCATAAAATTGTATTTAATTACAATTGTATTTGAAATACCCACGTTTTAGTATTTAAATACACACGTCAAATACATTACCCAATTTGTAATTAAATACAAATGCAAAATACACAAAGTATTTGAAATACGTATTTCAAATACTTGTATTTGAAATACTGCTGTATCCCTGGCATCCATGAATTACGTGCTTTCTTTCTAGAATTACAGGGGGCACATAATTCAAGGGACACTGACGGTATTTATGCTCGCCAAGGTTTTTATTTGTACATGACATATGAGAGCTCAACTACCCAGAAAACAATTCGCAGCTCGAAATTCGTTTTCTTTCCGCCCGAGAACTGGCTGGTTTGAGTCGCTCTCAATTTCTTCTCTGTGGTCACGTGCAATTTCCTGTGGTTTAGACACAACCACCAAATATAACCAGTCGTAGGTCATCAAAGGCGCACACACAATATTCAATATAAAGAAATATGACACCCATTTTTTTAAGGATTCTAAAAAGCTGCAAATATGTTGATTGAAAAAAAAAAAAAAAGTTGCACAGCCACGCGATTTTTACCAACTCTCTCCTCTATATTTCTTCTTCCTCCCCAGTCCAGTTTTGGTTTCAGTTTCGAGCGGTTGCGTTTTGTGACTTTATTAAACATATGTGTGACGCTGTAGCAAAATATTGATTGGGTAGTCTTCTGACACCATAATAAATCACCTGGGAAAAAAATCAAAAATAAATTTTTGGAAGGTATCAGTGTCCCTTTAACCAAATGGGCACAAATTGTACCCATAGCGTTCATGGTCGAATCAAACTCCCTATGGCACCAAAACATTAATCAAAAATGGACCAGTCAAAGCCAGGCCCACATTCACGAGCATTTGCGCGCAAGCCATCGTCAAGAGGTATGTTTGGCTGTTCGTGAAGAAACTTGGAGAATAGAGTTAAGCTTACATTTTCGCATTCAAGTTGGCTTGAATCACGGGTGATGGCTCGTAGCCTTGCACGATTGTTTTACACCGCTCGGTGCTCGTGTAGTAACAGCACCTCTTAAAGGTGCACGCCCTCTCTTTCATTACGATTAAATGGAGGGTGTCACGCAGCTCGTGTGGTAGTTGTGGAGGGAGGTCGTTGAACTCACCTGAGAAAGGAGGTCTTTCTGCTCCAAGGGTCCAGTCTTGACCTCTGTCACGCGCAATGTTCCCACTTCGTCCGAGCAGCTGCGAGGAGATCGACCAATTACTAATCTCGGCGGATTGCACCGCGGCCGGGACGTTTAGAGTCGCGATCGAGAGCTACATTTGGGGCGCTGGCACTCTTTTCACTTGTTGTCCAATGACACCACAACAACCGTTAATCCGTTTGCATCAGCCTCACAGACGTGCGAGCTGTACTTAGCGTCGACCATTTTGTGCTATACAGCATAACCTCATTATAACAAAATGGGATATAACGAACTAATGGATATAACAAAGCAATCATACCTTTCTTTCTAATAGTGGGAAGAAATGTACATTGGCTATAACAAACTAATGGTTATAACGAAATAATTACGACCGCTCCTTCAACTTTGTTATTACGAGGTTTTACTGTACATTGTCGAGGCGAGCATAGCTTCCGCACTGCTGCAGGCCCGCACTGCTATAAGAGCATGTGCACGTAACTTCCTCTTGCATTTGCTCGTGCTGGCACAAGTAGCTTTGACAGCGTTGGAGCGCTGCGGAAGCTACTCTAGCTTCGACGACGTAGCACAAAACACTTGACTTCGAGCATACATTTATCGTTAAGGTTCTGAAACTGGACCTTTTGAGTTGTCGGTTGTTTATGTTAAGGCTGGTTCACACAACCCCGTTTTCTTGTGTGACGTCAAGTTACGAAGGCTTACGTCTGCTTATGCCGGAAGTCACCGGGACATCTGTGTTTCGTGTTAAAGGCGGTGCAACAATTTGCGGACTTCGGCTAATTAATTGCGGGAATTGATCCCGGCCACAAATAAAACGAAGGACCGAAAAATATTCTTTCCTGCTTGCCCTAGTTTTCATTAAAAAAAATAAAAGAAATTGGTATCTCTGGCACCCCTCAACTCAACATTAAAGTGGCACCAGCTTCGCCTGTGACGTCATTCGGAGTGGCGTTGGTTTCCGGTTGGGTTCTTCTGGCTTCCGTTTCCCCAGCGCTCGCCGGCTCGCCAGGCTCGCCGCTCTCCCGCTCTCCCGCCGATTCCCGACCAACATGGCGGCATGGGCGGACGGCCTGAGCGACGTCGAGCGCAAGATGCTTGCGACGCGGCGGGCAGTCGAAGTCGAAGTCGAGGTCGAGGTCGAGACACCAGGAACAATAACGATACCACGATACTACGGACCACGACCAACGCACTCCGTCGAGCAAGGGAAAGACAAAACGTCCGGGTTGCTCGTGTAGCCGCCGTAGGCGCCTCAGGCGTCGACGGATGACGGCGACGGCAGGTTTTGTTGACTTGCGGTAGATGGCGCCACAAATAATTCATACCCTTTTTGCGGCAATATTAGGCTTTTGAAGCGTTTCTGCATGCCTAAACAACAAGATTTTTTAAACTTAACCTTAAATCAAGCTTACAATTGCCTAACACTATCACTTACAAAAACCACTCCGAATGACGTCACACCACAGGTTCCATTTGCGGCCACCATGTGGCCGCAGGCTGGGAAAAAAAGTGTTTTTTATTTTACGATTACGCAGCGAAATAGAGGTATTTTGGGGTATGGTGGCACTTTTTCTCTTACTTATGCCGAAGTAAACAATATAAAAAATACAAGCTGCACATTCGTTAAGTGTTAAAATCATTGCACCGCCCCTTTAAGCGTGGCTACCGGTTCAAGGAGATAGCCTGGTACGTGACGTTTGAAACACAAATGTTTCGGTGACTTGTATGTAACATAAGAAAACATAAGAAAATGGTGCTGCATAAACCAGCCTTCGGAGCTCTAGACTGTCATATTGATTGTGTTAACAGGCACTTCTCACATTTTTCATTAGGCACGTCAGCAAAAGCTATTGGGGAGATCAGGGAGTGGCACCTCTGGAACTAACGCTGTGTGGCAAAAATCCTCCGACCGCAGTCACTATTGCATTCGCTGCCTCGAAAGACGATGACGCGAGGCTCGTGAAAGATATGTAACGCTATTCCTTTCTCCTAAACACATCTAGACAGAACTAATCTAGTTCCCTCTTGCCAGCCGCATTGTGTCAGCCCCATGCCCTCGATTGTGCATGGCCAGTATGGTGTCTGTGTTTTCCTGAATGATTCACAAAACATGCACTTCACTTTTCAGTTACCCTGTCTCTCGCGAGAATCATGGACTACATCGGCGAAAGCAAGCAGTGTCTCATTGAAGGAGAGGACGTGCTGAACTGCGATCATGTCATTGAGCGCAGCGTGGCACCAGAGTCGATGGCGGACAGTGTCCGCATCATCACGTACGTGCTACAGTCCTCCGCCCTGCATATTCCCAGTTCAGAAGCACGCTCGCGCACCGGGGTACGCAGCAAGTGCGCACCGTATCGCTACTATAACAAATATGCAGTGAGCGCGGAAACGACACGGTGGACGCTTGGCGAGTGCTGGCGTCAGAGTTGTTTGCCACACAGCGATTGTTTGTTGTGATGAAGATGATAATGGAACTGTGCCCCCTATAGTTCGATCTCCTTGCCAATGACGATAGGCGTCAAAACCGATATCCCAAGCAGTAATAAGACCGAAATGGCGTCCCTCCGCGGTATAAATAATCGAGTGGTTCCAAGTGATACAAAAGAGTTGAGCGGATACCGATAGAGCTTGATGTCGGCGCAGTGCTGCTTCTCGGCGAGCTCGTCGCCGGACATGTCTCGGTGGTTCTTGACCACTTTGTCCTCCAGTGGAAGGAGGTGGTTCAGATACTGCGATTGACGGGAAAACATGCGCTTGTTGTTCAGGTACTATAATTGAGAACATTTGCTCGTTATTAAGATACTGCAACTGATAAATGAAAATTTAACATTTGTTTGTTGTTTCTTTTATGGCACTGCAAGCACACAACAGTTGGCCCAGACATTTGCGAGTACTACTACATAACATTTGGAGCAGGAAAACAAAAAAGAGAAGCCATCACGATACAATCAAACTAAAAGGAATGAGTTGGCTGCTGCTCCTAAGGTTTGATGTCGTCCCAGCTCAATGGGGGGAAGGCATTTGAGGAAATTTTTTAGTGTCTGCATATCAGCTGGTGAAATTTTGAAGTATAGTGCTGTTCAGCAACGTCCCTCCATTCGAAGGCTGAAGACCTTCCTTTCGTTTCTTATTACAGATCTGCAGAGATACTTCACGCATTCCTACGAGATCCCACAAGGACAAAGAGCCACTAAAGTTCACTCCAGAGAAAACCTTAAGGGGGGGGACATGAACTTTGGAATCACCAAAAGTTGACAAAAACCAGATTTTTGTAAACAAATGCTTGAAGTCCTACGAGGAAAGTATTTTTTGTAATACATATTGATGAGGTGTTTCTTTAGCTCTAGATCTAACAGAGCTCTCCAGAAATTAATTACAGATTTGGGATTACCACCAGATCAATACACTAAAGTCAGATTCCAAGAAAGAGAAGAAAACATGACACCCCTGCCTTCCCTAAGTCACCTTATGTCCGAGCACCAATTCTGCAGACACATTCCATAAGGGCTGCTAGGGAACGTTAGACTTAAGAAAGACGAAGAAACTCAACATTTCTGGTCATAATGGCTCATGTCACAATTGAGGACAGTCCGGAAGGAGTTCACAAATTATGGAGGCTGACCTCTTTTTCGGGAGAGCCCAGGTGCTTTTCTTGACCGTCCTCCACGATGACGATGGTGCCTTCCCCATGTTCCGCCTTCAGCTGCTGCGCTGTGACAGCTCCCTGGAAGTCAGATTTCAAAGGATGTTGGACCACCAGATACTGGACCGCAGTGCGACACTTTCAACGTCCCATTGGAACCTTCATGCTCAGGACGTCGGCACTTGAACTGTCTGGTGTAAGGAGGTCATCCCAGCTACAGAGGCATTCCACTTGTTTATTTTATGCCCTGCTTACAGAGGTGTCTACTTAGAGATGTGCCAATCACAGAGGTGACCCACGTGGTTTCCCAACAATAGAGGTGTCCCTCTTACAGAAGTAGCTCCCTTATGAAGGCATCCCACTCAGCGAGGCATCCCCACAACAGAGTTGTCCCTCTTACAGAAGTAGCTCCCTTATGGAAGAATCTCACCCACAAAGCATCCCATCTTTGCTGCCCCACTAATTACAAAGGTTTCCTTCTTACAAAACTGTCCATCGTGGAACATGTGTCTATATCTACTTCATGTGGTATTGTGATGTTGCACCATGCTTTATGTAAAGGCAAAAAAAAAAAAAAATTATGCTTTTTTTTTTTAATTAAGGCAATCGGTTGATTTGATTTAAAGGGACACTAAAGTATATTTTTAGCTCATCTTCTTATGGCAATAACTCAATCTATGTGCCCTAAAACCCAAGATTATCATCATGCATGGCCTTTCTCTTCATTAAAAATGTGACCAGACACTGCAACATGCCTCCCTATTCTTGAGAGTACTGTGTATACAGTTGAACCTCGATGTAACGAAGTCGGTAAAATTCGCAATTTACTTCGTTACATTGAAATTTCGCTAAATCAAAATTGGCTTTAGCATGCGAAAAAAAAAAAAAAAAAAATTCCGAAACATTTTGCGGGTACGAAAACTCACCGAAAATGACATTTATTTAGGGGCAAAGTAGTCCGCGAGTTTTGCTTGCGCCTTGTCCGACAGTAGCTGCGGCGTCGGCGGCGTCATACGGCGTTCGAGCGCCCAGAGCACTTGCACGGCATCTTGCTGCCCATGCGACGCCGTGTACCTCCTCAGTACGTCCATTGCGTCGAGCACTTCCCGAGTGCTCGTGATCTCGGCAGTTTCTTCAGGATGGCGTCCAAAACGTTTGCTTTCTCGTCCAAAGAAAGAACTTTAAGTTTCCCTATGGCAGCAAGCACGTGAGTATACCGCCCGGTTGAAAAATAAAGCTGTTTAGTTTAGGCGGTGCCAATGTTTCCAACCTACACAGCACTCTTGACCGCACAGTTTACTTGCCCCCTTGCGCCCACAGTGTGCTTGCGCCTCTGTTGCTTTCCATTTATATTGTATTTTATTATTGTTATTATTATTTTTTTTATTATTTTATTTTTTATTTTTTTAGTATTGTGTGTTTTTTTGTTTGTTATGTTGAACTTTGTTTTCGTTTCCTGGGGGTTGGGCCAACAGACGCACCAGCGTACGGGCTTCCGCCTTTCTGTTTCGCCTCGCACGCCCCCAGGAAAACACCTGTCTGTGCAAATAAAGATTATTATTATTATTATTATTATAGAGATCATACATTTTACAACACGCTCGCAAGACGATAATCGGTCTTTTCGGTCTTCTCCTAGATGGCACTGCCCGCGCGGTCGCGCCATCACGTCGCTCCCCCGCTGAAGTTGGCTCCCGCGCTACCCGCGGTACAGTGGACTATGATGATCAGTGAATGTCAGTGGTGATGCTGTTATGCCGTGTTAACTTTTTGCTCGGCATTTTCTGGCCAGCCTCGCGGAATCCGCTTTGCCGCATGCCTCGCCGGCGCTACCGGCGCCGCATCCTCGGGCAGCCTAGGAACGTTGGAAGGCCTGTCCCCGTGAAGTAACCTATCAAGCGCTCGCGTTTGCGCATTATTTTTTTTTTTAACCACAATTTTTTTGCGAAGTTGTGTTTTAGAGTTGATTTATTTATTGCCTTTTATGGCAATGGCGCTTCGTTATATTGAAATAGCAGCAAAATAGACTTCGTTATATAGGGACTAAAAATACATGGGGTCTATGGGCAAGAAATTATGAAAAATAAAATACTTCGTTAAATCGAGGATTTCGTTACATTGAAGTTCGTTATATCGAGGTTCGACTGTATACGTTTAAAAAAAGCATGCTTATGCTTGCAATAACTTTCTTTCTATTTTGGTTTCATGTCTGCAGCCAATCATTCAGATATTACCCAGGATGGACAAGTAAAGACAGCATGAAACAACCTGAAGGGGGAGATTTGTTTAGCATATGCAACATGATCAGAAAGTAGTGAGACAAAACTACATTTACCGCTTCACTCCAATTGAATAATTGTCTAAATAAAACGGGATATTGCGCAGATCCGACAGGCGTCTAGGACATCCATGGAAGCTCAAAACGGATGTCTGTTGCCGGTGCCCATTGTTTGAGTCTTTCTTTTATCCTCGTTTATTCTCACAAGAGATTGGCGAGCCAAAGATTAAAATGCTTTGCAATCTCTTTGACCTTCCCAATTGTGGCAGACTTCGCTATGAACTTCAAGTCTCACAAAACGAGTGATGAAGCTTGCACCGACCTGAAGTTTCTCGACGTGGTTGGCATGTCTGCCACACCACACAAAGACGACCGTCCGGGCGTCGATGACAAATACGTCGCCGTCGTTCATTAGGCTCCAGGACACATGGGGCAGCTTGCAAAAAAGCATCGGTTAAGTTACACAGCTAGCAACACTTTGAAACATTGTACCATGACTGATTATCAAGCTGTTTGTAAGTGCCGATTTATTGCTGTATTTACTGATTGGTGGTTATAATCTATGTTACATGGATTAACCAAACTTCCAGAGCAGAGCTGATTATTGTGGCCCTGCCAGCGAGGCACCGTTTGATAAATCAGCTTGTGCATGCTTCCTTCGGTCGCTAAATGTTTTAATGATTTAACGTCGCAATCGGTGGAGCAATCTCGTTTAGTAGGATAGGCTGAAATGTTGCGTGCACCGTGTGTCTGCTAACCTGGGGTCTTTACCATAGGTAATGAAGCACCAAATATGCGTGCAATCTTGCAAATGCTACTGCTCGATGTATGTTGTGAATGCCACGCTAGTAGGTTTGCTTCGTTGGAAGCAGTGATTACTGATGCAGTCATGTATTCGCTGCTGCGTGATACATGCATTGAAGACCCCAGATTTGCAGTCGTGCCGCACAGGCTATGCGGATCTTCTACAGTGCTGAAACAAACAGTGTTGCCAGTTGCTGTACAGATGTTTACAATGTTTAATGCCGAACATTGTGCAACAGCGAGCTTATTGCGCCCTATTCATGATTGCAAAAGGTTCATGTCACATCAAGTATGGCAAAAAAAGTCTGCAGCATTTAAGCAATGTTAGAGGCATATGAATACCTCTTTGACAATTGGCCGGCGCTTTCCCTTGACGTGGAACATCCGGGGAGTCGTGGTGTCTTCGACATGCTTGAAGCCGCTCACGACGCCACCATTTTGGATCCTGAACTTGCGCAAAGACGAGACAAGCCAATGACACACTCACTCGTTGAATCAAGGTAAAGGAAAGTTTTGCGTAATATTAATGCGCTGCATGAGGTCGGCCTTACAAGATCTGGCTGTCGGAGGAAGAAACTGCGCTTTTTGGTGTTCAAAACGTGTAATGTCTTAACAAAAAAACTGTGAGCTAATGAAAAATTCACCCCTATATATCTTAATTCACTGTAGTGATCTGTAATGCTTTACGAGAACCAAACTTTTTTTTACAATGGTTCTTGAGGTGAATACAAGTATAAGTGTTTCACTCAATGTCTAAAAATTGTTACTTAGGAAAAAGGTTCCATGTTTCTCGGGTTTAATATTTTCTGAACTGGGAAGTCTTTTTTGGATGTTAATATTTTCCTGTAGATTTGGGGTTTTTCGGCACCAACATTCGATACAGGACAAAAATAATATTGGCGTTTAGCAGCGATTTACGCCAAAGAGAACAGGACATAGTCGTGAAATTTCTTAGCCTCTGGGTGAAATGTATGAGACCCAAATACTTGGAAAATGTCTCGGTACCCATAAACAAAAAAAGTTAGATAAAAGGCACTGTTCCAGAAGAAAGCAGCAGTCCTGCAGACAGTTCAACGTGGCCCAAGGCAGAAAATAAAAATCAGCATAATTTAAATCGTGATTTAAATCAGACCGGTCTTATGGTGACGATTTAAATCCAACCTTCGCCGCAAAAGATAATCCCAAAAATATATTTTTTATTTACCGTTTTGTATTGTTTGGTGCTCTCCGTGTGCATTAGTTTTGTATTTAGGTTGAGGAATCGTCGAGCGAGAAAGATTTATATTGGGTTGAACACGAGTACAGAGCACTGGTCTCCTGAGCAGATAGAAACATTGGGCTTTCTGCCGCTCACTTCGTTTGTCGGTTACACAACGTCCTATTGCAAGTAAATAAGAATGTGAAAGAAAGAAACTAACACTAAAAAAGTAATGTCCTATTGCAAAAAAATTGGAACGCAATTGAAAAAGCAAATAAAGCCTTTTCACTA